GGTCCACACCCCTGGCCTATTCTGGACACCCCTGGTCTCCAACCAACTTTCCATCGAGCTAATGAAAGAAGATCTCCTGGCCCTACAAAGAGAGACGAGTCTCTTACCATGTATGATATGTGGCTTGCTCGCAGCGAGAGAAGAAGTTGGTGTCTTGGGAAGTGGCTCAGACTACACAGCATTTGTCCACGCTGGTCTTCCATCGGCAAGTATCCCTTTAATCCCTAGAACCAAATAACACAGCATAGCGACTCCGATTTACTAACATTTTCACAGGTGAATGTCGGTTCCTCCGGCGGTTCTGGTGACCCCGTCTATCACTACCATTCCAACTATGACTCTTTCCATTGGATGGACACATTCGGCGATCCCGGTTTCGTCTTCCACAAAGCAATGGGTCAGTACTTGGCTTTGCTCACGTACCATCTCGCCTCAGACGACATTATTCCATTCGAAGTGAACAACTATGGCCCCGAGCTCGCAAAATATCTCGCCTCTCTTCGGAAGGTCATTGATGCATCTGGGCTCACTGTTGACTTGTCCCGCTTGGAGGCGGCCATGGAGGTCCTCAACAAGGCTGCGAAGGCGACCACTGAACTGAGGGACGAAGCTGTTAAGACCGGAGATGAGCGCCTCATTGACCTCGTCAACGCTAAGTTCCGCGACTTTGAGAGAGGCTTTGTTAGCCAGGGCGGATTGCCCAATCGGGAGTTCTACAAGCACCTTATCTGGGCTCCTGGCCTTGACACTGGGTAAGAGCTCTTCCTTTTTCCCTTGCCACCTTTTACAAATGCTCTCGTCAACCTTCCCTCCAATTGTCGTACTAACCTTGACCCTTTTCACCTTGCTTAGATATGCCCCCACAACATTCCCTGGCATCACAGAAGCAGTCCAGGGCGGAGACCAGGCTCTTGCTCAAGAGTTCGTGGAGAGGACAAGCAATGCCATCTACATTGCTGCTGGAATCCTAACGCCATAATTTTTTTTTTTTTTTTTTTTTTTTTCAACAATCTCCCAACGACTTTAATGGGTAATGAATATATGCTTGGAAAATGCAGTTATGGAAACGTTTCCCTATCTATCTATATAGATATAAATATATGTGTGTGTGCGGCTTACCCAGGTTATGAAAAAGGAAAAAGAAAAAAGAAAAAAAAATCATAGCTACAGATTTAGTTACACCCAGACGGTTTGCTTGCGAGCGCCTGTTTAGCTTAATGTCAAATCAATTTACAGTTGCTCGTCCATGACTTCCCGCTGAGTTTTTTCGCTTACATTTTTTTCTTATTCTACCCCTCGATGAAGTGCAAGGGTTCTTGTAGATCCTCCTTAGTAGAAACAAACAAATCTCGCAACTCGAGTTCTTGAGTTTTTATGATACTTAATACGCTTTTCTTTCCAGATTCGTAGACTCCCTCTATTTGGTTTTTGGTTTTTTTTTTGGTTTTTTTTTTTTTTTTTTTTTTTTTACTTTGTTTTTGTTCCGCAAGTATCTGCCAGAGTACGGAGTACAGTACATACATATCGCACTTCGCCAGTGATCTAGCGGCCCCGCCTCCTCCGCTGCAGCCAGCAGTATCTATCTACACATATAACATGCACAGTACATGCTCTTAAATTATTATAAGTGCACTATGCACTACATTTTCATGCACCTATGGCTTCCTCCATTTATGCGTTTTCGCCATCAACGGGGTCTCAGCATATTAGCGTTCATAATATTCGTGGCCGTAGGTAGAGAGAGATACAACATATGCTCCGGGTGTCACTTTCGAGACCATTCCTTGGGACGGATAGGGTGAGAAAAGTAGAAAGAAGAAAGAAAGAAAGAAAAAAAAAAAAAAAAAAAAAAAAAAAAAAAATTTAAAATTAAAATTAAAATTAAAATTAAGAAAAAGCTAACGAAAGCTGCCGCCTAGCTCCAGTTGACGTAGCGACGAGCGATCCATCGCTGGTTCCTAACCAGCCATGCCAGGGCGTGACAGCCTCCGGAGAAGAAAGAGACGGGGGCGAAAGCACGGAACTTGCGGGTGGGTGAGGTGGTAGGACTGTTGTCTCTAGATTCTCGTCATGCACGAGGTACCTGTACGCGCAGTACTTACGCGATTCAACAAACGATGCATGACAGAATGCATGCGGCTATGTAACAAATGTTGACTTGCAAGGTAGCCATTCTGCTGGGGTAATGGAAGTAACTGAATGGTTTGGAGCGCCGGTTTCGGCTGTTATATGATGTGCAGCTTTGTGAAACGGAGGTTGGAGTTTGTGTGCAAATGGGAAGGGCTGGGGTGGTGGTGATTTTTTACTCCTTCAGTGTTGATTGATGTGCTTTTAGCCTGGTGCAGTTCGATGTATGACCGTGTTACAAGCGTAGATAGCTTTTGGAAATTGTACAGTTCCAACCCATTTTGTTTAAGGGAGTGTGGTGGCATGCCAGATTTTATCTAGTATCAGTAGTTGTGTATATATGCATTCAACAATTGGAATATCAACCTGAGATAAGGCAAAAAAAGAAGGAAGAAAAATTGTTGGCAATATGGTGGATAGTCGGCTTCAAAACAAAAACGTGTAGATGCGAAGCTCTAGTCAGCATTTAAAAGGCAAGATACAAAAAAAAGGCCCCCGGAAACACCTTGCCGGATAAACGAGTGGGAAAGGAAGAGAACGCCTCGCTCAAAATGTAAAAGGGGGGATAGTGCAGAGCTATTGAGAGGCAAAATATGTAAGTAAAACCTGACGCAGAATACCAGCTCAATAGAAAAAAAAGTTGGAATGAAAGGATCTCACAGCCTGCATGCCAGGAGCCACGAAATCGTGATGGCAAAGGAAAATCTTGTTCTAGTGACAACGTGAAAATAAAACAGTTGAAGGCAAAAAAGCCGAGACGACGAAGTTGTGATCATGGTTTGAAATCATTTAGTTCTAAGCCCGTCAGCTGATTATTACACGTCGTTAGCGTTTGTTCAATAGACGGAATGGCGCACTTGGCATGCTCGTAATAATAGGTGCTTGTTCGCTGGGCGGCAGGGAAGTAAAGGCCGTGTCCAAAGCGGTACGCGAATTGTTCGAAGCAGAGGCCGGTGAATGGAGGGTCTGGCCGATTAGGAAAGAGATGAAGCGCCCTCAACCGCTTTGTCAGGGCACCAAGCATAAGTGAATCGCATTCGAAACTGCAGTGCTCTTTCTCGAGGTAGTCTGCAAGCTGGACGTGGAGGATGGAAACGATGCGGGATATGGAGTCGATGCGTTGGGAGTCGATTGTATCTGGGTAGTGTTATTTTAGTATAGGATGATCTCTTCTCATGTTCGATAACATTTTCGATGATAAATATAGATAATCCGCTCAAGTGCAGTTTCTAGAAGATGAAGAGCAACTCACCTGCAACAGATGCAGGAATAGGAAGGTCGCCTAATGGGAGATTCTGCTTGCCCTGGCGTAATGCGAGCCGGGTTACGTGTTTGAATTCTTGGGGCCGATTAAATATCCAGCATATACAGATCCATCCTGGAATATCTTCCGTGTATGCCTGGGGGATGGCGTCTTTGAGCTTCTCGAACCAGGAGTTTGCAAAAATCTCAACGGCTTCGTGGACGTCATATTTGTCAGTCAGAACAGCGATTTGAGTATAGGTATCTATGTCAAACTTCTGTTGGGACCCTTCGCATATAACCATAGATTATATTCAAAAGGATAAGAAATGCGTCGGGGATCGTCGGTAAGAAGCCGTATTTCTACGCTTCCGTTCTTCTGAAGCGCATTACACTCGCTAAACTTGCGCTGAAGCATGGCGCGGAAAACCGACGACGCGAGAATTAAATGCCGAGAAGAAGCTCGTATCAAAACTTCTGTTTAGCAAGAGGTTAGAAGCCGAGTAACATGATCAAATAGCGCCACGCTGCCCGTTTTGTTTACCTTGTTCGCAAGTGATCAAATCATTATCGTTAGCCCCATTTAGGACCTCTGCATCCGCGACGTCAGAAGAAACCTTTTGTTTTGAGACGGCACTATCGACTTCCTCCCCTAATTCGGATATAATCTCACATTCGAGATATCTTGTCATGATAAGCGTCACATCGCCTTCCGGGTCGAGATTATGGACCTCGGAGGCCATGCGATCAAATTTTGCAGCTGCGGGAATTACTGGGCTAATAGCCGAAGGCATCATGAAAAGTGTACAGAATACTTAATTGAAAGTAGGAAGGTATATGCACTGTGCATGTGCTGTACATGTATATAGCAAATTCCCAAGGGACTGGAAGTGGCGGGAGGGGGAACAGAGGGATTATATTGATTTTTAAAGCACAAACTGAGGTTGTACTCTATTGCCTCAGTATGACCAAGAGTGCGGCGCTGATTTGAGAAATCGTGGTCGTGTGATGGAGATCGAGGAGGACGGCAAGGTGTTGGTTATTCAAAGAATGAATCGGGGACCCATGCAGGCTCTCTCCTACGTGGCATCCGTTATTTGCTGGTGAATTTCGGGAATATTCAATAAAGGGAACGATAAAGGGAACAACCGTTCAGTCGCGCACGCATCCCGAGCGTTTAGCCAACAGGCCAGGAATGCCGTGTTGAGGCAAAGGGAATGTGCAACCAAACTGGCTTCGGCAAGTAGCGTTTCAAGATGGGCCAACTGTTGATAGTCAAGATCAGAACCTTGCTTGCTTTCCAACATCACAGCATCAGTCGCAGCCTACCCAGCCATGATCACATTGGCATTGTGGGGAACACCCTGGAGGGCAGTCTTAGGTGCTCCTTCAGACGGGGGAACAAGGCACGGGGCCCATGTTCATGACTCTGCTCCATTGGATAGTGGTGGGAACAGGCAGGACTTGGTCGGAGAGTGTTCGTTACACATGTAAAGAAAGTAAAGAAAGTACTGAGCCCGCAGAACACAATCCTTGCGGGATGGGTAACGTTAAGTCGTGAGCGCCACAAGATCCTGGCAATCCAGCGTCAACAAAATTGGATTTTTGGCCGGAGCGATGGGCTGGGTCCTGTGTACCGTATACCGAGTCCAAGCAATGCCCAGAGGTAAAGTCCGTTACCCTACACTTCGAGATGGGAATGAAATATCCCGGCAGCATTTTGCAGTGGTTGTGCGCATACTAGCTGCTAAGGCGCATGACGAGTGACCATCCGAGACAAAGAAACAAAGAAACTCCTTGCTGGCGCTCCCATTCCCGTGAAGGCCCAAACGCACGTCATTGGATCTTGGTATAAATGCATATCCCACCATATCCCATATCCCATATCCCATATCCCATATCCCATATCCCATATCCCATATCCCCACCGCAGTGTTGGAGATTCAAACCCGCTGCAGCCAACCACAAGCTCAGAAACTCCAACCGAGGAACATGCCTGGTCATGTGACAAGCCCTAATTCACCTGGGATCCAAGGTTTCAAGCGCCAAACGTCACAGTAATGGGCCATGAAAAACAAGCTAACTCGACGCTGACTGGGGGCGGGAGAGGGGGAGAGGGGGGATATTTTATTTGAGAGCCATTGGGATTTAATTTTGTTGGCTGTAGCAATGGTACGCCCCCCACCTCAATTATTCGGGCGCGCCCTGCACTGTCTTATCAACTGAAACCATGGGGGCAAAATATATGAAAAATTCGCTGTAAGCCGAGATAAAGATTTGTGGACAAATCCTGCATCGATAAATTCCATCGCTGCGCGCTGATCCATTCGCAATGCACGAGCTCTTGCTACCATTAACAGAACAAAGAAAGACACTCTGTTTCGAAATACAATTCATTCTTCAATAAGCTTCCAAAATTTGGATTTGGTGTTGGTGCTTACAGATCTATTGTTCAATTTACAAAGCCCGAGGACTGGGGTTGCAATATTCCGATTTTCCACTGCGATATACTCCCGCCACAAGTCTCCCATTGATCGCATCAATTATTATTTTCTATACGGAAGAAACGGTACTATTATTAGTTGCTAAGAGCAAGGAGCATTTTTTATCGTCCCGCTCAAGGTCAAATGTTTACAACAGCGTTTTCATACTCAATGTGAACATTGGGCTGCCTATACCCCACCGCTTCCCTCCTGTAATGTCCAGGTTAGGACACCGAAACAGAATTGCTTCCGAGATCTGCGACCTCCCACACCAATTTGACATTCACGCATTAGAATCTCAGCGACGAGCCCGTAGCCAATGGGGACAACTTGTGGCGGCCGAATCCACAACGTGCCCTAGTAATTATTCGACATGAGAGCAAAATCGGAGCGTCAGATGTGTAGTTACTCAGCCAAATTACAGTCAGCGGAATTTAGAATCTGGCCGTAGAATCCCCCTCCAACAGCAAAAGACCGGACATAGAACTGACAGAACATAACTGACAACCGTCATGAGATCCTTTGGCTCTTGTTACGACAGACCAGCAATGAGAGCCTGTTGAGCGCTCTGCGATGACGTCACGATCTGTAGGAAGCATATCCATGTGGCGCTCAGAGTATGGGCGGGAACGCCTTATTTCTGGGTTGGGTTGGCTTCCTGAGGGCCGAAAAGGGCCTCCCACCACGTGTGATGGATCGGACGTAGCCGGGGACTTGTTTGTAAAATCATTTTATAGTTAATAACTAACTATGTAGCTTGATAACCTGGGCACATGAGACCAATTCTTGTTATATCATGCCCCTTAAAAAAATAGGAATAACCCTACCGTAAGATAACTACGCCTAAGAGAGCCTCTGGTCAGCGCTCCATTATATCTGAGCAGTGGCTCTGCAACAAAGCCATACTTAGTGCTCCGCTGTCCATATTCCAGCCAAGCTCTGCTCAGGTGTCCAATTCAAATCCCGTTTCAAGGCGGCCTCGGCTCACCAACTTGGCCGCTGAATTGTAGTAACCATGTCTGCAAACATCCTTCAGCTTTCAGTATGACGCTAGCCAGACATCAACTGTCGACTGCGACGGGCGCTTGATGTGTTCTTATGACGTTTAAATAAGGTTATAATAGTCAGGACATTGGCCAGTTGGTCAGCAGGTCGACCGTTCCGGGCCCATCAGTCCCCAATGCTAATATACATGTACCTACTCCGTAGGCATGGAGAAATATTGAACGTCGAGCGTGTTTCCCCCCTCCAATGGAATGTTTTCAATATTTTCCGCTAAGTAAGTACCGTAAATATGGCCATGATGCACAGCAGCATGAAACCAGATGCTCAAGTCATTGATAAGAGTTGCTCCTTGGATGCTTAACTGGGTGTTTAGTCGACTTGCCGCTTTTCTGTAGATAAATTCTAGCTACTGGTTATAACCAAGAGCCCCATATGATTAATTAACACATGGAGGTTATACTCTGGGAAGGCCATTTCTGAATTTACACGGTTACAGATCCGTTCGAGAACCCCGAAATATACGAGTAAATACATTAGCATCAATCCTATAAGCTGCAGAGTATCATGTCGATACGCACATCAACCATAACGTGGGGGAAAAAAGAAAAAAAAAAAAAAGCAGAGCCGGGCTAGACAATTGATGATAAAAGTGGGATGTACAGTACCTGGAGAGCTGTACATTCATTCATTCATTTGACACTGATACTTGCACTTAGCTGCATGTTATTTGACATAACAGTGTGTGATTCTTAGAAACCATCAATGACAAATATTCAATATATTAATTATAAAACTCAATATTCAATATGATAAAACATTTCCCTGTATAATCTGAAGAAAAAGTGATACAACTCTGAGTGAGAAATCTGAAGGAAGATTCAGTGAGGGGAAAAAATAGCTTGTGATAGAGTAGTCTATATTGATGAATAGAAGTATAACTGTAAACTATGAATAAAGAATGGAAGTTGAATACTGATCACTGATATCTCAAGAACAGATGGAATTGAACTCCGTGAAAAATGTGAGAGAATAGATTTGGCGAGAGAGAACTTTGAGTCAGGTTGATGATACCTTTTTCTGATTTGCTTCTATCTTTACTAAATATAATCAGTGTATTGTGGCTGCCTTTTTAGAGGTAACTATTGACTTGAAAACGAGGTGTATGTCTACCAAAAAAAAAAAAAAAAAAAAAAAAAAAAAAAAAAAAAAAAAAACCAAAAATAAAGAGTAGTTTACTAGTCGGATGCAATAGGTTGGAGTTTCTACAGAGGGAGAAAAAGAACGGGAAGTTGGAAATGACGGGGATGCCGGCAGCGTAGGTTGGGGAGGGAATGTGCCTATCCTTGGTTAGAAATTTTCGTCACGAAGAAACGCCCAAAAGAACAGAGGAATGGAAAGCGGACAGGGTTCTATCAAAATGTAAAGCAATGTCTGATACTGATAAAATGCATGTGCAGAATGTAAGATATGTGTAACTTATGCTCATTCCGGGGCGGAAAACCCAGCGCAAAGTATCCTGAAAAGAAAATCCATAGAAGAAAGACAATCCAACAAAGGAGGTCGTAAAAACGATAGTTAAAGTGCCCACCGCCGCGAATGAAGGACAGGGGAGCAGAAGGGAAAAAATCAGGCTAAAGAAAATCATGTATGATCAATCATCCAGAAGGTCTTTCCCTTCAACAAAACTGATAATATCACCTGCTACCCCATCCGTTATAGCAATCACTAAACTCATGGTACTTTTCGCAGTCAGCCTTCCAGCCACATGTCCACAGGCCTCATTGAACTTGATAATCAATCCCTTCACCTCCTTGGTGGTACTGTCCTTTGACACATGGAACCAATCCTTTTTGTGAACAATCACATTAGCGGCATAAGGAAGATCCTGCAATGACATTTCAACATCCCTCTCCTCTGAGAGTCTGCGAACCTGCTCTGGCGGAATAATTGCCGTTGGCGACAATAGGACCCACGATCTGGCTGCTGGAGAGCGAACAGCCCCTCTTAACACATCTATTATGCTGTGCTTTCCTAGGTGCTGCGTGGATTGTGGAGATATCGGGTGTATTACAGAAAATGGCGTTCCAATATCGGATATGCAACGGTCGCGATTGGGTGAGGGAGCTGGAGTCACCTGCGGTTCTCGTTTTGGGAGTAGCGGTTCTGAAAATATTGAGCTCGCGGATATTGAACTAGATGAAGACTCCGAAACCGGAGTCGTAGAAACAGCCGATGCTGCGCCAATTGCTCCTCCAGGATGGAAACCTTTGAACACCTCAGCTGGGCCTTTGTCTGGCGAGTTATATAGCTTCCTGGAAGTTGCTAATGCCAATGCGTCGCCCAGGGCAAGCGCTACTGTTGTAGATGTCATCGGTGCGGGTAAGCCAAATGATATATCTTCATGCTCGTGAACCGGCGCAGTTAGTAGAATGGGGTCGGGACTATTTGAGTCAGCTAAAAGTGGACACAAATCGGGACTTTCATGCGCGGTGATGGCAATTAGTTGCACTGTTGCTGGAAGATACGGCTTAAGGCGGAGTAGCTCTGGTGTCTTGCCCGAAAAGGTTACCAAAAGTACTGCGTCACCCTAAACGATCGAAAGCCTGCGTTAGATACCACCGCCAATTCTCCACGCCTTCACGGAAAATGACCACAAAATCAGGGATAGTTACCGGTCTAATCATCCCAAGATCCCCATGGAGTGCCTCTGTTGGGTGAAGAAATGTGCTCTGGACCCCCAGGCTGTTCATGGTAGCCACCACCTTCTCAGCAATCTTCCCACTTTTCCCAACTCCGGAAATAATTAGCTTCCCTCCAGACCTCACAGTATTGGCTACCGTCGTCACTGCGCGTTCAATGCTATCCTGAGCAAGTTTATCCATCAAATAGATTCTCTCTAGATGTGCTAGCGCCGCCCGTTCCGTCGAGATAACGTGAATTGCCGTGCAGGTCGAAGGCGCCAGGCAATGTCCTGGCGAATCTACCAAGCCACCCGGATCTGGTGGAGTCATTGGTAGGGAAGGAAGAACGCCGCTAAATTTCTGTATCTGGGTGCGGATTGGTGCAGATAGGGATGTAGTAACGCACCGCCTTTTGCGTGCCATTGGAAAGGGCGTCATTTTGCTCCTTTCACACAAACAGAGATTCCAAGGTATCGAAATGGATACTGCAGAATTTAGTAAGGAGAGGAAAAGAAGCGAGTGGATGTCGCAAACACCACTGGAGCGCGAATCAAAATATGCAAGAGGATTGGCTGCAGCGCAGCCGGACAAAAATCCCCTATCGTCTCATTTTTCCGTTCTAACTACTTGATATAGGTTCGGCAGGAGGGGAAGAGACAAACCACCCATTCATTTGACAACGTGGGAGAGTGAATAAACAAGCTGCAGATTGGGGTTATGTACTGTTCAGGTACATAAAAGATACTTGGGTGGAAGGATGACTCAGGCCAGGGATATAGGCCCGGTGAAAAGCAAAGTGGAAGGGAAGGAGAAGGAGTGGCACTGAGAGGACCAGAGTAAGGTTCAACCTCACCTGGTGATCTTCTCTATGATGCTCGAGGACATAAGGAATGAGGGGATAGAAGGAAAAGGCAAGTAAAAAAAAAAAATTAATTACATTTTGAGTACCATCTGCAACTCTGTAGCGGTTTGCTTAGTCATTGGCGGGGTGGGCGAATTCCGTGGTGCAAAAACACACAAGGGCATTGACTGACAGGAAGCAGAAAATATTTCGTTGTCGGATAGATTATGAACAGGGTGAGTACGCCCGATTGTTATATCCTACGCAATATATTGCCGCACATCAGTGTTGAATGTGATGATTCCACATCAACTGAACTTTTGATAAGGTTTCCAATCATATATATTTTTATCTTCTTGATCAAGCCACAATAAAATGCAGAAAGCCCCAAAAGGGAACGTGTTCCGACCGACGCCGACGCCCAATTTGGAATTATCCTGTAGTAATATTCTTGAAGCTGCCCTATCACAAGCCCGGGACGTCATCGTGGTGTCAACCGGGGGTATGAGGCCATCTCATGTTGGTGGGTATTTATTACTAATGCAGGTGCGCCAATATCCCGTTGCTCAATTTCGTTCAACGGTAGTCGAGACATGGAAAATGGGTTATCCAAATAATATGAATTTAGTAATACAATGCGCCAAAAGGTTATTAAACAGAAGGAGGAAAATAACATCCGGATGAATATAATTTGGGGGAGAACGGTGGGTTATTTTGACGTGCGAAGCGGGGTTCTAAGAGGAAGGAAGCATCAACCGATTCGTCGCTCATTTTTCACTGTTCAAGCTATTTTCGGCTTGTCAATGGTTTCACACCTCTATGTATTGCAGCGATGCCCATAGAGAGATTCTCATAACCCCGCCCAGGAGTCAAAAACCCAGCTTGCTGGATCATGCGACAAAATTCTTCTTGGCTTGGGAATTTTTCAATACTTTCAACCAGATACTGGTAGCTTGACCGGTCGCCTGCCACCAGATGTCCGATCAAGGGAATTGCACTGAAACTCCATCGCTTGTATACCTGGTCGAATAGACCATTGGTGACCTTGCTGAACTCTAAACAAGCGAAGACACCTCCTGGTTTCAAGATGCGGAAGGCTTCGTTTATTGCAGCTTGTTTATCGGTAAAATTCCGGATGCCAAACGCGACAGTATACAGATCAATCGAGTTATCAGCAACCGTGGGGAGGGATTCTGCGTTGCCCTGCATGAAGGATAATCTATCCGTATTGTAGTATGGTGTCTCGAGACTCCGCTTCTTTCCCTCCGAGAGCATGTCCGGGTTAATATCCGCGATCGTCACGCGTGTGTTATGGTCGTTATTGATGTTCGTAGCATGGTCAAGCATCCGAAACGCGATATCTCCAGTTCCGCCAGCGACGTCGAGGATATTCCACCCTTGCTCCCCGTTGGGGTCGTTGCTCGGGTGCTGCGTGCCCGGGTTTAGGGCTCGAACAAAGTGATCCTTCCAGAGGCGATGGATTCCCAGTGACATGAAATCATTCATTGTATCATATGAGCTAGCAACCGAGCTGAAAACAGCTCCCACTACTCCTGTTAGCCTCCGGTAAGGTAAAAATTACAAAAATGAATCACAAACATACCTCTAGCTTCTTTTTCGGCTTCTGGAACGGTTTCGAATCCGAAATGAGTCGTTCGTCCATCATGGCCTGGCTTTGAAAGCTCCGGTTGGCGAGTTTGGATTGAGCAGGAGAAGCATCGATACGGAGCTCGAGGGGCGAATGAGCGGCGCTTTGCACTGTAGTGCAGACTGCGCCAGGCTACTTTTGAGGTCATGTTGAGAGCGACCGCCAGTGTCTCTGATCTATTGTTACGACATTGCTTGCGGAGCCCTTGAGTTGGCCGGATGGTTGTTGATAGCATTCGGGGCTGCAGATTTTTCCGGTCCGCAGTCGCCAAGACAATGCATCAATCCATGCTACGGATAAGGAACAACTTATTCAACGAAGAGATTTTGCAAACATCATGCTATTGAAAATATCTCATTCTTACTCCTATTTGGATTTAAACTTACTGTTCGTTACAGCTCCGCTTATTGTGTGAATTTGACTCAATTAGGATGAACCACGGAAGATACTGAGAGCTACCCCAAGCAACTATCACTTCTACAAAGAGGAACCCCCTGCTATCCAGAAGGGCAAACCTTGGATGTATTGAATTGGCTAGAGAACAGGGCCTCGCCCCGTTTGTTACAAATTACTGTGTTGCTATTCTTGTAAAGCGTCTGGCGACTGCTCACGAGGGCCGAGTAAATCCCCGCCCATGAGATGAAATGAGAGCTGGATCCAAGCTTCAAGAATTAGCCCAAATGAAACTAGAGCTACGATATAAATAAAATCTTCTAGTCCTGGCTGCAGCTTACGATGAATGCAGATAATACAGACGATAACAATTCTCGGCGGACAACTGATTATATGCAGGGCTTCAAAATACTGGTTTGAATCGCTCGCCTCTCTTCCGCAGCTTGGTGAATAATTTGGGCTTTATTTCATCTTTCCGCTGCTATGGGATGCTCTTGTCACTCTTGCGCTCAGATTCGAATTTCCTCTCATTGTCGCAGCCAATTGAATCTTGACATATCCTGTCAGAATAGTGGCACTTTTACAAACAGAGCATTCTAGTTCATCAATCGAGTGCCTTGATCTACACACAAGAGCCTCAATTGTGTCTGCGACCGTACAACCACTAACTATAGACCCAAAGTCTATACGCAGTGATTTTCGCATTCAGCATGGGATCACACAAGAGGTATGCGGGTTAAAATATTCTAGTTTTGGAAGTTTCTCTTTCCGATCCACTTCGGTATATCAGGATATCAGTCTGCATAGTTAACCGAAATTAAGCGGCAAATAGCATTGCCATTGACTTCTGGGCGTATTCCGGTGTTCTTTATGCGTAGACCTTGTGCTGGAAATGACTTTGAGGGCGATCTGGTCCAGTTGATCACTTGTTTGCGGGGCTAGATCTTGAAAGATATATCGTAAATCGGTTATTAGGGCCGAAGAGAAAACGCCATCAGAACTTCAACAAGTCGTCCGCTTTGTCTATGCTCATGGCGATTCATACTTTTTTGATGGCCTGCGGAAGGATTTGAGCCAATGGAAAGATCCCGGAGGAATGCTTAACAATAATCCTGATGCATCGATTCCGGAAAATGGGCAGCATTCTGATGATCAGTCGAAATGCAAGTCGATCGTGTTTCATAACAGGATGGAAGTCTCTCATGTTTTCCCGCCTCCAACAACCCGACGAATCCCCACCCACGGGATAACGAACTTTATGCTTCAGCAAGGTTGCCATATGTTGGAGCTGGCTTGCTCCTTTCTCATGATCCTAATCCTCCGTATCGAATCGGCTGCTGTCAGAGCCCATTGGATCATACAGAACGCCACCATCATTCTCGGTCAGCCTCCTTGCTGCTGAGGTTGTGGTGGCTAGCTGGAGTAATAGACGCCAACCAGGCAGTTGATTGAGATTTCGAGAGAAAAACGTGCTCTCGAGCCGCGCACCAGGGCTCCTGCAGGAGCATGAGCCATCCCGAAGTTAAATATAGCGCAAGATGTCAGCACGTATCTTTGCCCAAGACAACGCCTTTCTCGAGCACCCAGACCAGGCTTACATCTTTATGTACAGCAACCGACTTGTTAAAACTGCCTGAAATCATCCAACTTCCGCCAAATGACACCAGAGGACATGACTTGGGTTCCAGTAGAGAGCCCCTGGGCATCGTTCAGGCCGATTTTGGCAGCCAACGCAGGAGAAATTACAAAATAAGCATCAAGCAGTTGTTCTGTGCATAGATATCATCTCTATATGTACCACATATGGACAATCAGCGAACAAACACACAGCACCAACTTGACGGCTCTGGAGTATATTCTGTCTGAAAGCCAATTTCTGGTAGGCCATTTTGAGTTCCCCACCAAAGCGCCGTCGTTTTTTCCGGCGGGCAGTGTTTCATAGGAGAAACAAGAGTGGTACTTCGTAGTAGTGGCTGGCTGTGGATTGGAGACCGAAAATCATCGAACTTTCCGGGAACGCCAGTTGAAGCCTCAGGCTGGCCCCTTGTTGATTCGACTCCCTTTTCACGAACTGGGCAGAAAAAGTTGCTGGCGACTGTCTGTGACATAGTATACGCAGCGTATGTACGCAATAATATTCATATGCATGAAGCGCTGCATGATACCAGGGTATATGGAACCAAGATGAGCAGATTAATTGACATCTTGAAGATGGAGGAGCTAAAATATCACAAAACTCCGTCGATCAACGGATGTTGGTCCCACTGCTGAGGCTGACTCTGGCGAATTCAAGACTGTGGCGCCCGGGGCCGTCACAGCAGTGCAGTTGGGCCCGGATGATGTGCAAGGAGTCCCCACCGTCGAATAAGTATCCGTAAGGGTATTATTCTCACTCGGGCTAATGGACGAGAGGACCTTAGTGGCTCAATATCATCCTTGTTAGGTGAAAGCACTACCCCGACCACGTCCTCGAATCAAGACTAGGATTGGTGGGCGGCTGCGGTTTTCCCCAGAATGTTAATCCCTTGAGTCCTGGCTCTCGGTGATGAAATCATGGACCGCACGACCAACTGTCAAACATCACAGCTGCCGTCCTGCTGGCCTGCCAGGTTTTTTTATTGTAGATGAAAGGTTCCAACAAGGCCAACGCGAATGTTTCGATGCGGCTAAATCATATAACTCGCCGAGAGCAACAGACCGCTGTTTTAGGCTGCTCATCTTCATCGCCCGTCCCGTTCCGCAGGAACGCTTGCCCGAGAGGAACCGTGGAAGCAAAACAGGAGATAAAGCCACCAATGTCCATTGTTGCCAAGTTCAAACTTACTCGATGCTGAACGGACGTCTCTTTTATTGCAATGATGGAACCTAACTATCGCCGATGAAGATTTTCTCGAACCCAACGATATGGAAACAAATTTGACAACACTTCCCCAGCGACCCAAACGTGTTCGGCGATGGCATCATCGGGGCTTCACTGGCTGCTCCACCTGCAAAAGCAGACATGTCAGATGTGATGAGTCTTTTCCAGCCTGTCGTAACTGTGTAAAAAGGGGCCTCCAGTGTGATGGTGCCCAAGGCACGACGACGTTCAAGTTCTACAACCTTGATCAGAATGCGGCTAGTGTAACTGAGCCGAGTGTCAAACGACGAAAACCAAAGAGTGATGAGGAAGGCAGCAAGTTCCTCAAAAATGAAGGGAATGAAGAAAAGCGCATGCAAGATAAAATCAAACCCCCGGTTCCAGTTCGAGGCAATATCATCACCATATCGAAGCCACCGTTTCTCCCAGCCTCTATATCGTCACCAGAGGATCTGTATTATTCTCATTTCATTAATACGGTTTCAACCCTCCTAATTGTGTACGACACCGATTACAACTTGAACCCATATCGTTATTTGTTTCCCAAGTTTTCTCATACGTCAAAAACGTTACCTGAAGCAATGAAGGCCCTTGGAGCGCTCCAAATTGCGAATACTACAACAGGAAAATCCCAGATGTGGCATATGCAGAACGCCATGACGATGTACGGCAAAGCCGTGCGGTCCCTAAGGCAAACATTACGAGCTGGACCAGGGCACTGGCAACCGACTGACCTTGCTACGTGTTTGCTGCTGTGTTTCTTCGAGGTTAGAGTGTTTTTTTTTAAGTTAGCTAGTTTTCAGTAATGCCTGGATAGCGCTCCCTCCTGTCACTGTTTGGCGACTTACGTTCTACGCAGATGATGGACTCGGAGACAGGCAACTGGAAGATCCATCTCCGTGGAGTCCGCGACCTTTTTGAGTCTATGATGCAGCCGATTCAGCCAGTACCCACTCCTACCATGACAACCCAAGCTTCTAATAAACCACCTGAGGTGCCGGAACTGTCACTGAAACGCTTTCTTATTTCGCTTACAGCGTATCTTGATGTTGCTGGTGCCGTTTCTTCGAATGAAGGAACCGTTATCGAAGGTCCTTATTGGGAATCTCATGGTGGTGGCTGGCAATATAATTTAGGTGTTTCTGGCACTTTGCCAGAAGAATCGCGGAACGCCACCGTGTTATCAGCACTTCGTCGTCACTGGTCGTTACTGATGTGCATACAAACTGATATTAGTTCGTTTGCGAAAGCCAAACGAGAAGGAATGCCAGTCGAACTTCAAGAAACCTCCAGGGCAAGCCTCGAAACGCGACTTGCGTTGTGGAGGTCGATGGTGCCTGAATGCTTTTCGATGATTGACTCGGCGCTGGAAGACGACGTGAAAACTGACGGGAATGACGAACTACTCGAAGGCACTGCTTGCGTTGAGGCCTATGAAAAGGCCACGATTATTTATCTACACCTGGTCTCTGTTTCCGGTGAACGTGTTTCCCGTACCCCACCTCCACACATAACAGCAGCTTCCAAGCGTGTCATTACTTTGTTCCGATCATTTGGGAGAGGCGTTGGCCAATTGGGGATGCTCTGGGCTTTGTACATTGCGGCCTTAGAGGCGAATGATCCCGCAGATCAGGAAATTTTGCGAGAAATATTTATCGGCATGACGAGATTTGGTTTCAAGGTAAGATGAGCCCAATACCTACCCTACCTTGCTATGAGCCACAAAATTGACAACTATCAGAATGTCACCAAAGCACTCGCGATTTTGGAGAACACCTGGCTGCAAAAAAGGTTATTAGCCCAATACGAGTGGATCTATGCGCCGCATCTGGAAACATCGGTACTTCTACCATGAGGAGAGGTTGAAGCGAAGGAGAAATAAACCCCTTCAATCCAAATCATTACACAAATATACGCCAAACTCTACACTCTATCTGAAAGCCAAGAAAACGACGTACATGTGGCGAACACCACCATCTATATTCCCGCTTCTTGGATTAAAATCCATATAAAGGAGGAGACCGGTTCGCTACACGGCCAGCCTTGAACCTCAATAACGGCTAAAATTGGCATCAGGAAGGCATAGTGTGGCAAATATTGAAGGATGCATGTGAAGAGCTTTATCATATCAAATTCAGTCCCAGCCATACTTCAAACCATATAAAGATATACGGGAATTGCCCCCCGGCTTCTTGCTGTTAACGTCGGAGGACCCCTCCATCGTGGATACCACAGTTAGCTATAATACAGCTTAGAGAATAGGAATGAGACGGCAGCCTAAAGATACATATGAAGCAGGAGATTTTACCAATGAATTAGACGGCTCCACAGCATTTGAAGGCGTGGACATCGTCTTTGATTATCCAGATGAATAATTGTCACTGGAAGTCCCCGCTGCAACGGATAAATCAAAAATTTTTTAAACCAATACTATATCATGTTGATTGCCAAAAAATGTGTGACGGTTTTCATCAATTCCAAAAACTTATATGCAACGTAGCTAGAAATCCTGGGAGGTCTCGGGAAGCTCTGTCAATCGTCGGGGTGTCACCACTGCTGGACTCTGTATTGAAGACAGTGCGCTCTACATGAGAAATGAAAAAGGCTACATTCCCGATTTTATTTTGTGCAAAACCAAAGTTTTTTGTATATCTTGTTATATTGATGAAACAAGCATGCTTCGCTTGCTCTGCTCTGCTCGGTACGGACTGTACAATACACCGGCAATGAATGTAAAAGGGCTTTACTGGAGTTGGTAAAACCATTTCAACCAACCAACCCTGAATTACCAATGAATTTATTCATAAAAGACCAAGTAATTTGTATATTGTATACTATAATGTAGTTCGCCCTGCGGCACCTACCTTTTTCCGTACAATTGAAATCAAGGATGGTCAGCTATTGATATCTCAACACCCACTCTATTAAAACACTATATAATTGATAATCTATGAATACAAATATATGTTTTAAGTAACAAGGATTTGAAATTTGAAATCATGTGTATCTTGTTGAGCTAAAATACATTGTAGCACACGAGCTGCAGTGTGCTAAATTATTGCGGAGCTAGTCCCAATTAGAAAGGCAGCTGTAAATAACACTCATAAACATCACCTCCAACCTCACCTCTATGATATGAAGCTCTAAGTGTTGTGGAAGAATGGCATTGTTAACTCATGTTGCAGAATTTGTGGCTGAAACATTCAATTGTTTCATTAACATTCTGTAGCTGTTCTTGAGCTCTATATAAGAATGACAATGTGAGTGTAGCAGATGAAATCTTATCATAATATTGAATTGTTCAATGATTCTGCTGAATTACACTCTGCTTTTTATAAGCTGTTGCAAGTGAAGAAGGGTCTGATGTGTGGAAGCTCAGATTGGCTATTTATACAAATGCAGTAAAAAGAGCCTTGAAATAGAATAGAATGAATGAAGCTGTAATTGCTTGTTTATTTTGCTCAGGCCTTTCTATACGGGCCGTTGCAGCAACGCGGGTGGTCACGTGGAATCACGTGAGAGTAACTTCTCATTGATCAATCAGAGCGCAGGGATTCAGCCAATCAGAGCGCGAGAATGCTTTCCTAATCCGGATGACCGAAAGAGGAAATTTTCTGGCACGAAAAGCCTATATATATCTCGCTACGCTCGCTCCGCAAATAAGTCGCTACAACGGGAGCTTCACCACTTGCTAGAGGGCCACGTGACAATATATGGGGCAAAAGAGCTCGATCACCGAGGTTATTAGGCCCGTTGTTAGCGCGAAAAATTCCGTAAAACACGTGTGCCAATGCTCCAGTTTCGGCCCCCACACCCCCACCCTTGTGACTACTAATTACTCTACAATTTATCCCTTTTTCATATTCAGGACAACAGATTTTAAAATGCTGACTGAAAAAATCTTTGATGATTTTCATTGTTAATTATATAGCAGTACTCATTTAAACTATTCCACTAGCACTAGCTTCAGCTTATCACACACATCTCATCATACAAATGACAGTTGAACGTGGTTTATTGAAACCTGAACGTGGTTTGAAAAGTGGGTCTTGTAGATAAACCATGCTCAGTTTTTCACACTAATAATAAACAATGGCATGGTTTAGAGCAGGGCTCTTTTGAAAACTATGTTTAGTTCTACACAGTGTAATCTGTACATGCTGACTGAACATTGTAGGTGTCTACAGAATACTCTAGGTTGGTGTTGACCATATGATAATCACCATAGTCACATGACTTATTTTGTTATAGAATGCCCAAAGTAGTTAGATAATAATGAAAAACCATGTTCAACAGTTTAACCACGCCAAAAGTTGTTCCGGTCCGAAAAATTATTCAACTGTATGCCCGATTCTGTCATATTTCTGGAGAAACTCTAATTCTTAACTAACTGTAATTTCAATCTCTAACCCATAATTCTCAAACTCATTTGTATTATGAATGATGAAGATGTTAGTTAGTGATGTATTTATTCTGTAGATTCTAGTATGTATAGTTTTGTGTATCTTCAAGGCCCACATTTTAATCATGTTCATAAAGTCAATCGAGCATATTTTCTACACTAGTGACGATGAGCATCTATATAGAAACGTTATATTAGTTAGGAGGGGTTTCAAACTTAATGCCCCTCCACGGTACCACAGGCTCGAATCAGAGAGTTATCAATGTGGAAAGTCCTCTTGACTCGGGACAGTCCTTTTCTGGGCGGGGCCAATGCTCAGTTAATCACTCTGGATCCTCGGATAAGGAAGAGTTATAGTTCCCTAGCTGACCAACAAATGGATTGTCGGGAGCATTGGCGCTGGTAGTGATCAAGCACTTTTGCCCCAGGGGCATCCAAATTGAGCGTGGTTGATAAAAAGTTGAACATGGTTAATTTTTCGGGCCGGAATAACCTTTGGTGTGGTTTTGACCATAAACCTTGTCAACCCTCTCATTAAAACTACGGAGTAACATGTGCTAGTCATATCTCCCACACACTTCTACTGCTCTGAATGCATTAGAGACAGTGATTTTATCATATTTCTCAGAGCTCTATTCCATAGCTAACCTGGATTCTAACTCTAGATCATTAATTTCAATAACTAGTTACTTTTCAGATGTTGAAGAGCTCTGAAGGTTGAACTAATTCATAATATATACTGAGGGTGTGTCAAAGATGTTTCCTGTGTAGATTTTAGTGAGAAAGGTGAAGGAGCATGGTTTATTTTTCAGACCCACTTTTTTTAAACGACGTTGCCGCATGTACGGAGTGCAGCAGTCTATATTGACAAATGGACCTAATTCCACTTACAGACACTCATTGATAGAAATTTATGCTAGGAAGCAATACACCTTGGATTCTCTAAGCACATTTTATATCAGTGAATTTACATCATTGTAGATATCATCACTAGATATCATCACTAAATATCACTGCTCTGGTGTATACCAGCACTGCCTCTCTCATATATTCAAGCATTCTCTTTCTTATAAATACTGTCTAGTTATCATGTAAATTATCAGAGTTAGAACAATAAAAATTCAATTAGTTTTATCGATATTCAGTATTTGGGTCATATTCAGACTTTATCCAAGCTCCAACAACAAATTTTGTGGTGGTACAAAGTGGCTCACTTGCCTATATGTCTCGCTCGCTTCTCGACTATGTCAGTTCTCTGGTCAATCACCGGGAGCCAACTCTAGTCTGGCGGCTCCCTCGGTTAAGCACCTGTTGACTTACATTTAAACTCTGCTTCTTCTGGAAGTTCTGCAGAGAAATCGCCACTGTGGAGCCAACATTGAAGCCCCTGCTGGCTTTTTTCATCCTCGCATTAACAGATGCTATTGAAGAATGTTTACAAGCCCAATTAAATCAAAGAGAATGTACAGATAGAGTTAAATCGGCTAATGGCTAGTTTACTCAGACACTCTGATAAAACATAACTAGTTAACTAGTTAATTATTACTAAACTTAATAATTGTCAGTTAGTTATTGTAAAAAAAAAAAAAAAAAAAAAAAATTATATATATATATATATATATATTCTGTCCGTCAATTTCCATAGATACATTACATTTTAGAGTAGTAGTCATATATCTAAATTTACCGCGGAGTGGAAATATTGTTACCTTTTTATCAATTACGATGGAATTAATCACCTTGGGCGTGATCGGCTTTCTTATCAATATGAAAGTCGAGGCCACAGCGAATAATGACATATTATCAAGTATAATTAACTCTTCACATGTGTAAAATTCATCTTACGATAATTTGAAAGCTGATGGCTAATCTTTTTTTGACCAGGTTCAACATTTGAAAATGAAGTATCCGATATGATTCGTAGTGTTCAAATCGATTCGACGGGAGTTTTGCATTTAGATGATGATGGGGTTTTGCGATCATATGATGGAGCCGGCAATGTTCTTGATTACAGAAGATTTAATAGTAGTCACCTAATGACTGTTGCCAATCAGTATTCGGGAGATTTGCAGAGTCATTTGTTTGAGGTTTGGGACGGTGTTGATAGCTTTGCAGTTGAAGAGCAGCAGATATGGAATCCTGTCAACAATCCCTATCAATCTCTATTTCCAAAGCAGGGAACGTCGGATCGACGGGCGTTTTCGCCTTTGACACGGCGTGTTAATTGCAATGAAATTTGGTGTAATGATCATGATACCTGCCATACGCATCACTGCTTCTATTGTTTTTTGATAGATAGAGTATCTGATGGTCATTGCCGTGGATACGGAGCGTGAGGGGATGGTAAATATGTTCTCTATTAAATTAAGGATAAACACATTTTATATTCACAATAATATAGAAAGGGATTGCTGGTTGAATTATTTTTTGTTCCGCCTAATAACGAATTGAAAATCGATTTTTTCACCTTTTATAGGCAGCAACATGACCTGCTAGATGATGGGGTGAAAAGTGGCAGATCAATGAGAATTGACCCATCACATTTATCTTAATATTTGTATAATATTGATATAACTATTGATAGAAACTTACTCTTTGTTTTGTTTTCGTATATAATTTTGAGTATCTCAAGACTACATATCTAGTGTGATAATCAAAGAGAGTTGCTATTATATTTATCTCAGCGAGCTCTGGCCCTCTATGGCTCGGTTGCAGCAGCATGGACTTTCAATTACACAATAGTCACATATCTTTGAGATTTGTGACTCACCTTCGACTGTAGCTAAAGAGAAGAAGAATATAAATATATAATTTTTATATTTAAAAAAATTAATATTTCATATAGATGTATCTTGTTGAAAATGATCGCTTTATTTCTTTAACAATATGAAAACTGAAAAAGTGATTGTATCAATAGTTAGCTATATTAGTTACACGCAGTTTAGTTACACGCAGAACGCAGAAGCACCTGTTGGAGGGATTGGATTGGGTGATTCGTCCCCTCTTTATATACCACCACGGCGCTGGTGGTGATTGAGCTCTCTTGCCCCGGTGGCTTAACAGCGTAAGAGCACCCATCCCTTAAATAGGCGTGGTCACGTGCTGGCAGCCGCTTTTGGAGTCCAAAAAATTGTGATTGGCTTGGCAACCATCAAGGTATCAACTTGATCACCAGGAGAACTATTAACCAACCATACCGTTTATACAATACTAGAGAAGATGACAGTATGTCAGGCTCGGGCGATCCAAACACTCTGGAAGACACCTCCGTTTCTCGGATACTAGCGCTGGCCTATGCTGGGGTCACAGAACAAGTAATCTACAAAAATCTCAGGTTATCTGAACGCTTCTCCTCCATCAGCTCGGGGATGAGCCGGCACCTGCTCCCTCCTCTGGTAGAAGCGGTCTTTTATCCCAGCACAATGTACAGAATAGAATGGCAAATTGATTGTGACCCGAGGATCCTCCCTTACTAGATATCCCTTTTGACAAGATCAGCGGCTGAGCATGTCGCCACAACTGGGCAGCGTCCGCCCTCCCCACGTGCGTTGAGCAACTCATCCGAAAGGCCCACGCCCGCCTACTAGCATTATTGAGACTGCATATATGTACGGAGTATGTCCATGTACATCTACTGTACATAAATACACACATACACATATGCCCCTGCGCCCCTTTCTAGCATCTTTTAGAATCTTGATTGCCGTAGTCGATCTAGACTGGGCATCTACTTCCCTCACCAGTTTCAGCTTCGAAGCTTACTCAATCTGACAGCCCAAGCGAACAGTGATCCTTTTGTTCTCCCTTGGTGGTCTTGGGAACACAGCAGGCACACTCATCCCCCATTACCAAACCATCCTCACAAACCAGATAACATGGAGAAATCCCAGAGCTTCCTGAGCAAAATAGACCAGGACGCCGAAAATCTTGAATTATCCCTCCTCCCCCAGGAGCACATCAACTCTGTCCAGAAGCGGACATTCTTGTCGCGGCTATATCTATTCGCCGTCAAGATTACCTTAACTCTCTTGGTTGCTCTAACTATATATACCCATTTTTCCTCATCTCCATCCTCACCCTCACCCTACACCGGCTCCCTCCGAACCATCCCACACGTGGAGGTTCAACGATCACTGTCCGCCTTCGAAGTCCCATGTGGTAACTCCCCGGCCGAAGCGCGTCAACGGGGCTGTATCTTTGACATGATAGCTTTCAACTGGGCCCACCATGACTTCTGGGACGAGGACCTCCATAATCAATTCCTAGCCCGGTAACAAAATACCTGGCACTGAGAGACACTAGACGGACATTCGGTGCCGGTTGAGGAGGTGCTGGCGGGTGCACATCAATTGGGACTTCTACATCGTTCACTGCTTGTATGTGATGGAGCGGGCGGAAAGGGGTTCGCGGCCGTTACCCCATGTGGCTAGAGAAGCCCCAGATATCAGATGAATGGTCGCCTCTATTTCTCTATGTGAAGCAGTTCACGCTTGATTTGATGGATGCGGGGAAGTATGCGAGGAAGACGATAATGGTCACGGCGAAGATGGGGTATCTGGCCTGTGGCACCGAGATGAAGTGATCGATGGGTTGATTCGATGGGGCGTGTGCGATGCCCGGATGGGTTATATTTGTTACACATACCGTATGTACAGTACATGTACCTGGACGGATACATTGACTCTAAATGGGTGGGACGGGCGTTTCAAGGATTTTGTGGATTAGTTATATACCCACGTTGTCTTTAATCCACAAGTAGGACCGGTAAAATCTTGGAGTATACATTTATGGAGGGACGCTACAATATCCAATGTGATTAATATATATGGATGGAGTGAGAGAGAATAATATATCAGTGGAGGAACTGAACTTATGACAGGGCCCAATTACCGCCCCCAGTGATTGAACATCTCTTGCCAGGACAGACCACCAACCAAATGATTTAACATATGCCAAATCTGAAATCCCTACCGCGCGACCAATTGTAGTTGAAACCTAGTATCTAAGTCAGGAATCCAAAATGATTTTCTCAAGAGACTCCGAAGGAGCTTGTATTGTTGCATGGACAGAGATACTAGAAGACACTCACCACCCACCAGAAATGTATGTACACTGAATTTGTCCTCAAAATTGAGAAAATGTGAATAATGATAATAATAATAATAATAATAGCAGTAGTAGCAATAACAATAATAATAAATTACTAGTAGGACAGAAGCGAGCTCTATAGTTTCATCTCAGTTTCGGATACGCTTTCAGACACGTTTCTACCACAACCCGCATGGTACTCTATGTGTATGTATTTCCCTCGGTTACTCGCAATCTACACATGTAACGGTAAACCTCTCCAGCGCAGGCAGAGCTTCCATGGGTGAAACCTTCGCAAAAGGAAAAAAGAAAAAAGAAAATAAAAATAAAATATGATGGATTGGATGTATCTACTGCTCAGGGGCTCCGGAAAGCCCGCAAAATTTTGGCGTGGATTCCGGCAAAATCGAGATTTATTAATACAAGAGCTTCTTGTCCTGCACACATACGACGAGTCTAAGCCATGCGAGCGAGCTGATACACGGTCGAGTTTACGTATGGATGAATATAAATGGTGACCAAATCTCGGATTCTGGATCCGTTGTTCAATTCGGCTAGGACAGGGTCAAAAGAGTCCTGCTTACAAGGAAATCTCGCTTCCAAAATCGTCATGTCGCATTTATCTCCAGTTATATACTATGGCTCAATGGAGTCTATGGACATGTATAGGTACAGGTACACTGTATGCGTGGCACAAACCAACGTATCTGCCCAACTTGGAAACATGCCTACACCGTATCCGTCCATCCATACAGTCATCTTCAGGAGTGGGCATCAGCAACCACAGCCCGATGATCAGAGAAGAAGATACCATCGTCGAACTTGTTGGGTAGCACGGCATAGCGGTTTACATTCCAGGTGCCCTTGTCACCCCATCTACAGAGATTGCCCTGGCCCACGAACACATAGTCGATTCTCGTGAGCCCAACCTCCGAGTCGAAACCGGTAAAAGTCTTCCGATTGCCATAGATATTCTTATCCCCAAATTTCTTCACGGGATCCACCAGGACCTTTGACTCGGTGATGACTTTGTATGCCTCCTGTCCTTCCTCGCTGTTGAAATCGCCGGTAAGTATGACCCCGGTGAGCTTGCACTTGTACTGCCGCTTGTTCTTATAGTCGCCAATGAGTTTGAGAATCAGCTCAGACCCGTGCAGACGTGCCTCCGAAACCTGGTGATCGAGATGCGTGTTCATAACCAGAGCCATTGCCCTCGTCCGCTTGTTCCTGAAAACCCCAATGGTGACAATCCGGCGGTTCGTGGCGCCCCATCCGTAGGAAGGTACATCAGGAGTCTCCGACAACCATTTCGTATCCATCTCGACCAATTCCCAGAGCGATTTGCGATATAGGATGGGGGAGTATTCCCCACTCTGTTTGCCGTCGTCTCGCCCGACGCCGATATAAGCCCAGTCATCCCCACCACTGCTGGGGTGGTTATTCAACCCTTTGACGATATCCTCGAGCTGGTTGTGCAAGACCTCCTGCATACCGACGAATACGTTGTCGGTTGCCCCCATTTCGTATGCGACTTGGGTGATCAAGTTACCTCGTCGTTCTGACCAGGCTTTCTCGTTTCCTGAGGGCTTTGCTGCGTAGCGAACATTGAAGGTCATCAAACGGAGGGAGAGAGACTTGTTGGGGAACGGCCATGTTCGAGGTGCCAAGGAGGCAAACGGTCTTCCATAAATCAAAGTTGGCCAGAGGAAGAGAGAGGCGCAAATAGCTGTGATAAGACGGTTGAGAGCTGCCATCCTTTTTATCTGGTGCCGAGTGTGGCTTCAAATATCCGTTTTTGAACTGTTAACCGTTTCACGGACAACTGATTCCTCTCTCAGGAAGGCTCGTTTTATATATCCTCGCTGTCCGAAAGCATTCGAAGACCTGAAGCTGAGGAAAAGGGCCACGTGGGATAGCCCCGGTTACTTTTGATTCCATCTGATGTTCTTGTACCACATTGTTGAGCAGGAATTCTTAACCCTTTTACCAACAGAAACGCTCAACTTGACCCATGTGTGTTGACCACGCTTGTCTTTGTGGATATAGTGCAGATCCACCGCCACACGTGTGAGGCTGTCTTGAACATCATTTGCTGAAAATCCTCCAACAAAGCAGAAGGATAACAAGAACCCCACAGACATGGCTACATTGCTCCTCTGCAGTTTAAACGGTTATCCAGCACGTGCCGCTTGAGATGGTAGGCTCGCTGCTTAGTATTGCACAGTTGGGTGTTGCATCCAAGCAATGCTATGCGCTATGTCTTCCCGTAAAATGATACGTTCCCAACACGCCGGTTTTAACCATGCATCTCTGGCAAAACAATGTTGCTGGAAGCACCTGTGGCTTGGATTTCAACACCAATGAACGGGCAAATGAAGCATGGCCAGGGGTCCAAGAGCGGGGCGGGTGCAGCATGACGTCAGGCACGGTTCTCAAAGAACATCCTGGAGCTTTTCTAGAACCACCAAGTTTTTCAAACTGCGATAGGATGTGACTTCTGTCACCAGTCTAGCTTTTCTCTAGTCGTTGGCGGTTGTTGAAAGGGATGCACCGATGGACCATAGGCTGTCCGCAATCTGACCTCGTGCATCCTTCTCTCAGGACTCCCGATGCAACGCTGACTTGGGGGTGATGAGGTCAGTAAGATGGGGAACAACCGCAAACGTGCTCGGGCGGGCATATATTTTGAAAACATCATGGATGGTGACCGAGATTGACTGACAACCCTTGTTGGCAATATGTAATATATGCCACAAATATCACAAATTTACCAGCGTGTTGCACGCCATATTCCCAACCCTTCTTTTTAATGCTAACCGTAATTGAGAATTGATTCCCGATGGAAGGTTGAGATATGCAATACGGCGGAAGGGTCAATTGCTGAAAGATGTTATATATCGTAAGCGAAGATGAATATTCTTGGAGAACTTTAAAGGTTAGAATCTGTTCAGCGCCTGGGGTATTGTGGCGGACGTAAAGCTTGCGAAAACAGAATTTTCTGCCACCCCCTGAAAAATAGTAGAACAACACCGCAAAAATAATCAAAATATCCACATATCTCTAGAATCATTCAAATATCATTCAATTCATTCAAATACACACCTTTATCATCAAATACGCATCTTTATCATCAAATCTGCCAATATGCCCCGCAACACCCACCGTTCTACTGCCTCGCAAGCTCGTAAAAGGACTCCAACTACCCTGCGCCTTCGTCTGTCCAAACCGCCTGTTCCGGATGTTCCGGATAATGACGAGAATCCAACTGATGATGAGAAGGAGGATAAGGAGGAGGAGGAGGAGGAGGAGGAGGAGGAGGAGACACAGTCAGAAGATCCTCGATTTCTGCGAACACCTACCCCTGAGCCTGAGATCTCATTCAGCTGTATGAACGGGTGATTATCAATGGGATAAAGGAGCCTATAAAGATCAAGTTACGGAATGTCACAACAAATGATATGACTGTCAGCTTCTATCGTATCCAATATCTCCCTCAACTCCTTCTTCATCTAATATTGTGTCTCCAAGTGAGATAATCAATGTGATGGTGATGAAATATATGATGGAAGGAATGGGAGGCATGGGAGGACTGAATTCAAACTTGTCATCGAATTCAAACTTGCCATCAAATTCAAACTTGCCATCGAATCCGAACCTGCCATCGAATCCGAACCTGCCATCGAATCCGAACCTGCCATCGAATCCGAACCTGCCATTGAATCCGAACCTGCCATCGAATCCGAACCTGCCTCCTATTCGAAGTAGTCCAATCCCTCAGTTTGGTGAACACGCGGATCTGTTTATTGATGAGTTCTTCAACTGGTTGATGACAGAGAGACCTCGAAGAGCAGAAGCTCTTTTAACTGCAAAGAGCATTATTCAGAATGAAGGATTTGAACTGGATCATATACGGACAATGACAAATGAGCAGGTGGTTCAGTTGAATATTGGAATGGGTATATTCTCGATAATAAGAAATGGGTTAAAGAGTCCTATCTGGCAGTCACAGTTGAAGGAGATTAAATTGTCTTTATCTGCTGTTTGTAATGATGACAGCAGACCTCATACTGCTTCTGCTTCTGAATTTGAAACTTAGATATTATATATCATCATAATTGAATTGCAATCTGAATCTTTTTAAATTTTACAATACTATCCTATATGAGCAGATCTGAAATATCCTCTTGCATCTTCTTCTCCCATGAAATTCTCAACTGCATGATGCAAGAAGGCTTCAAAATCCCCATCAAACTGATTCTCTAACTGACATCTGTATCTTCTAATCCATTCTTTCAACGCGTGAAATGACTCCTCTATAGGATTATAATCAGGAGAATATGGAGGTAAGAATAAAAGTCCAATGCCAGCTTCTCTGCAGAGATCTCGCAGTGCTTGTGAACGATGAGAAGAGCAATTATCCATCACTAAGTAGTGATAACCTCGTTGGCATTTGGGCAGTATCCGGACACGTACAAACTCATTGAACCTCTCTGTATTATAGGACCCCTGATATATATCATAATCAAGATATCCATCGACACTTATTGCAGGTAAGATTGACCATCTGCGAGATCGTTTACAGGGCCTTCTAATGCGACAAGGGAATCCTCTGCTTGACCATCCATATCGTCGATCTGCAGTACGTTCATTCGCAGCACTCTCATCTAAAAAGATAAGTTGATCAGGTTGATACTGAGTAACTTGAATACGCCATTCAGCTCGAAGTTCTTCGTTGCGTTGACTGGCCACAGGTTCAACCTATATCAAATAGAACTGACAGATTAGCAGGTTCTATAAGTGACAATTGCAATAATTAATCACCTTCTTCCATGTCAAATTCAGTTTCTTCAACAATCTAGATATCGATCGAGGGTGGATATCAACATCAAATTCATCCTTCACAAAGCAGACAGCCTCATCGCGATATGCAGTTGGATATGCCTCAAAAAAGTCCTCCAAACCTGACAAGATATCCGGTGTGATCTTTGGCTTTACACCCCATGTTGAACGAGGACTTCTAGCAGTTCCAAAGCAGCGAATATTTCGTTGGATTCGATATACAGTGGCCAGACTGCACTCAATGGTCCGCGCAATCTGAGCAGGCATATAACCATCATTTAGAAGGCGTACGATCTCATTGGTGGTAAATTCGCTGAGCTGGGGGGGCATATTGGCAGATTTGATGATAAAGGTGCGTATTTGAATGGATTGGATGATATTTGAATGATTTTAGAGATACGTGGATATTTTGGTTATTTCTGCGGTGTTTTGCTACTATTTTTCAGGGGGTGGCAGAAAATTCTGTTTTCGCAAGCTTTACGTCCGCCACAATAACTAACTACCCGTTTCCATGCCACGAGCCCCCATTACGAAGGTACGCAGCGTAGAGTCCTGAAGCAAGACTCGGAAACTTCTCAGTTCCGGCCAGTCGCAAGGCCAAGTGAATGAAATCCCATGCACAGGTTAAATCAATAGCTGATTGTGGCAGAATAATCTCGAATGGAACTTTAACCTAACAGCGTGGGAACAAACGTCGTCAGACCATTCATCGCAACTGCATCTGCTCTCGGGAACCAGGTAACATTAACGTTGAATACAAACTCCTTGAAAGGGAACGGATCCTTTTTATCTAGGTGTGATTCAAAGGTTGCTTGAGCAGTGGAAGTTTCTAAGCTTACGCTGCTCTTCTTATACGAAAATATCTAACTGGCGTACAAGGGGTGTACGCTTCAGAAGAAGAATAGCCCGAAATTACTATCTCCTCTCCTCCCAAATCCGCACCACCTTCGTTCGATCGTCCTACGCAGTTGTACAAACCTATCCTAACGCCTAGACCAACTAGTTGCATGATATAGGTCCCAGTCGTCGTAGTTCTCGCCGTTCGAACCGCCTCGGGGCGTCCTGCTGGTAAGTTTTCGTGACCCGAACTTGCTAGAAGCTAGTCAGCGGTTATTCGGACGGGTTTTGCCAGTGTTAATCATTGATAGCTCCCACTGCCCGTCGTCAGAGCGCGCGCCTTGCCCAAGATCGCCCCCAATAATGAGGATACTCCCCCAGTGTATCGTAGCGGTCGAGCAAGACGACGCCAGTGCGCGTCTCTGCCAACGAAGAAAACGCATGTGAGCCGGCTGGCGAGGACGTGGTTGGCGGTAGCAAGGCCCGCGAAGACGAAGAGATGGTGGACGCCCCCGTGGGATCCCCTGCTGCCGCCTCCCCCATCCCCGCTCGTGCCTCTGTTTCTCCTTTCCCCGCCAATCCTCCTCCTCCTCCTTCGACCGCCGGTTCCTCCCTCTTCCCCGTAGCCCCTTCACGCCAGTTCGTATGTGGTTCCCACACTATGCTGCAACTGGTGATCGCAGTCTATAGGTGGTGGGATAGGTGGCTATGGCCGTTGTGGACCGGGCTACACCACCACACCCACGGGTATATATATCAATATGAGTGCAACCATTTAACAATGGTTACGTTGGCATTTTGCTATGGATAACCTAGTGGTCATAGTGCTAGCTTATCACACAGGCATGAGAGGCGATTTTCCCGAATCACTCCAAAACAAATTCTTGAGAGCATCCCCGAGACCGTGACCTCCGCATCACGTAAATTGAGCTGTCGTGAGCTTCCGCGAGAACCGAGCTGCGTGGATAATGACCTCTATATTCCAACCAATGGTTCATGCCCTTGAAGCCTAAGCTTGTTCCTTCACTCTGACATGAATCAAAATCTATAATTCTAAGATTTTGTTATAGTCGTATTCAGGGCTTGATCACACAAGGCCCTGTGGATGTGCCAGTATATTTATTTTGGACCCTGCTGTAGCATGAAGATCGAGATTTGAGCCAGTCCAACAACTTTATTAAAAAAAAAAAAAAAAAAACCCAACACCGCTGCAATTCCAGGACGAGGATACTACGGATGAAAAGAACTCATCCGCCCATAAGCGGAGATAGTTTTGACAACTGGATGTAGATCGCAAGCGCTATGCTGTCGTGATCGCTTGCGAACACCTTTATTGCTGTGGAGACGTTGACACCCCCTTTCACATCAATGTCAACCCCAGCCATTTTGTTTTTCACGGATTCAGAAGACGCTTCGGCCAGTATTCGGAGAAATAAAAATGACTGGATGGATGGGTGGGGAGTGCAACCTGAAGAACTCTACCCCTCCCTCCCCTCCTAACTGAAATAACCTTATAGAGAACACTGCCCTCGGAAGCCACTGTCTGTTAGAGATAAGAAAACCAGCTCACTTGAACTGGACCGGGAGTGTGTTCTCAAAATTCAAAGAGTACTATGCCAACTTACAATTGCCATCGTAAGTATACTCCTCTTTCTCCTATGCTGTTTCAGAGCATCTCGGGTCCCTCCACACCATTGCGGCTAGTTGCTGTAGGTTCTTCCGAGTTAAAACCAAATCTGACTCTCGAGACGAAGGTGTCCGCAGGAATATCTTCTCAAATGGAAGACGAACAGCACCATCTGCCTCCCGAATATTTGAATTGGCGATTCGCCGAACGCAGGTAGTTTCGATGAGCTGTGGAACACATCCCCGATACATGTTTTGTCGTGTTGGTCTTGGCGATGCTCCCATTTCCCATTTTCCAATGAGAAGTCTATCTATGTCCATTTCGATGTCGATTGTAATCACAATGCCCACATGTCCATTTGGACTGTTCCAGCCACCATCTAGCATCACGTTCAAGCTGTGCTTCAGTCTCTGTATATTCCACTTCCAACACAAAGGTAGGCCATAAAGGAGATCTTCCTTTCGGTGATTCAGTTGGCTGCCAGGACATATCTGGAGCCTTCTTCCACTGAGTTGTTGTAACCCAACTGGAGAGAAGATTGCTTAGATCGAGGAAGCTGAGGTCCATTTTAGCCAATTTTTCCCCAACAAGGTCACCAAAGACTGAGGCAGCCAATTCGTGGGCTCTAGAAGGCATTCGTAAAACGAGGATGTGATTTATTTTTGTCGTAGCTAAATACTAATTTCTCAATATTTCTGTTATTCTCGACGTGTTGCTCGACTGCAGCTTGGGAGACACATGAGAATCCCATGAAAGGACTGCGAACGGGAGTGCTTTGGCCTTCCATCAGCGCCAGGAATGCACCCCCCTTCAAGTTGAATAGTTCTTTCCATATCCTTTATATTTCCACTGTATTTGTATTTGCAAGTGCCAGGGGGAAGATATTTCAGCTCCTCACATTTTCCGCCCGCGTTGGCAGTGGGTTTGTTAATGGTGTTTGCTGAAGGCATGATTAGTGAGTGGTAGGGAATCGACTCGGACAGGACCTTAGTACTTGCAGCTCTGGAAAAGGGCCAGAGGGGATCCTCGAAGGAGTCTAATCTGTATATAACTACTCAAAGCCGGCTTCAAGGTTCTTCATCCGTCATGCTGCCCATGGGCTCGCTGGCAGCAGCAGCCCAGTTGTAACTGCTAGCAGAGAAACGACAATATATATACGGAGTATATATATATTTATTAGTACACTGGGCATAAGGTTCTCAAGGACCACATGGGCGTGTTGCAATTGCGCACAGATCCGCTGCTATTATTCTTCAACCAGGATGCGCATTGTCTGCGATGGAGCTACGCCACATAAATATTCCTAGGCTAACGTTACAAACGACACAGCGGTACGGAGTACCTGGTCAAGCTCTCCGTCTTGGTTCCATGATCGGGATGAAGCAGGACTTGTTGGAGATATGTCGAATTCCAATTGGCGCGTTGAATTCAGTTCACCGTTGCAAGAGAAAGAGGTGAAGCAGTATATATACTCTGGATTATCACTCCAACACGTTGGTTTTCGAGAGTGGATCGCAAAGCGGTGCTCCACCCGTTTTGATACTACCATCACCTCAGCAAGGAGCGCGAGAAAGGAGGACGGAAGCGGTTTAGGTGGCAATAGTGAGGCTGCAGATTGTTGCATCAAATGCTGTCGAAATGCCGCTTGTTGAGATTTTAAAGTGCGATGTGCACGAGCTAAAACCTGAGCATATCAGCGCACTTCCCTCTGGCCCGCGCCGTGATAAATATGGGCCGCCAACCCGTCGGAACACTCTTTGCAAACCTAATATGTTCGGCCAAAGGAAGGTCACGGCAGAACTAGTGAGGCATTCCATTGGCTCAGCAGCGATACCTGACGTCGCAGGCGTCAGACATCAGACGTCGCTGTTGCAAGAACCCGGGAATGATATCAACTGGTGTCTACGGAGTATTATGACCCCCAATCAACCCTGGCATCCTGCCTGTGATCATTCGTTCTGGGAATGAGATTTCATACATTAAGAACCTCGGGCACGCAAATCTATGCCTCTTACATTTCTAGTCAGGAGAAACGCTGGCCAGTTGTTCGCCCAGTGAGCTTTTTTCGTGCGATTGAGGTCTTTGGTTGGAGTGTTTCTCCTCAGACCGCCAAAATCTCCATTCCGCTCCTTTCCCCTATTCGTTCATGGCTCTCAAAGAGCAATGGTTAGTTCAAATTGCATCTTCGCCTTCATCGCGAGCTATCACTGCCACCATACAAACTGCAAAAGGTTTGGCGTCAAGTCGTGAGTGACGATCATATAAGCCAGAGGAGGTCAAAGGTGTATAAATCGCACAGGGAAGAACTCCGTTCATCTTCTCCTACTCCGTACTCTTCTCTTTGTCTTCCCACTCAACAGTCCCTCCTTTTCTGTTCCGTTGAAAGTCATTCATTATCAAGATCGTACAGTTTTCACTCACACTCTTCTTCTTTGATATCGTCACTCATTTAATCAAACTTCAATTAATTCACCATGAAGCTCACCGGTTTCTCTGCAGCCCTCGTCCTAGCTGGCTCTGCTGCGGCCTCTCCCCTCGTCAATCGTGGTCCGCCCAAATATGGAGTTCCTGAATCCTCAACTCCATCAACCCCAGCGACCAACCCGAGTAGCGCTGATCCTATTACGCCTACTCTCACACCTATAGTTACACCAACGGTTGCTCCTTCGCTCCCTCCTTATGGCATTCCTTCGGTTTCTCCCGGGTTGCCAGAAGTGAAACCAACCGGTGGAATCCCACCCGTGTGCAGCTTCCCCACTGAGGATATCCCCAATGGCACACCCGCCGAACTACCGGACGTGGATGGCTTGGATTCAAACCTGCTTGCACAGCTTCTGCCCGGCGTTATCTCTATCATCAACGGTCTAGGTTTGGGTGGCCTCGCCCCTGGCCTCCTCGGCCTCCTCAACCTAAATATTGTCACGAACAACCTTGAAATTGTGGACCTCGACGGCCTCCTTGGTGGTCTGCCAATTCCTGAGATCAGTGGCCTGAGCGTTAACCAAGTCACCAAGATTGTCACTGGTCTGTTGACCATCGTCAAAGTGCTCAAGCTCGACGAGATCACATCGTCTGGTGTCTTGCCACAGGTCGAGGGTATTACCCCTGAGCTCCTCCAGGCCATCCTCAACTTCGTCGTTGCTCTCGTAGGCAAGCTGGGGCTCCAGTCGGTGTTCACAACCCTTCATGTCGCTGCCACCAACGATGTTCCAGACTTGTTGGTTGCCGGCGGCCTTCTCGCTCAGCTCGGTCCTGTGGTCGCTGGCCTCCTGAACACTCTTGGCCTTGGTGCCCTCGCTCCTCTCCTTGTCACCCTGCTCAACTCTCTGAGCATTGCTCTGTAAATAAAAGTAAGCCTTTGATGAAATGTGCACACTCCGCATTCGCCCCTAACACCAACTAACGAGCCTTCCAATCCTTAGTTACATGGGGAGAATGCCTAAATTAGCCGAAGCCGTCGTGGGGAACTGGACGAACGCGCCTCGCCTTTATGAACTGTCCCATTTTTGCGTGACCTGAACCTATTGCGGAGAGCACTCTTCTTTCCCGCACAGTCTTAATTTTCAACTTTTCCTTCTTACCCCCCTTGGTGTAGCTGTAGTAGCACGGGATGCATTAATGTTGATGCTGTTTCTCTTACGAATCTCAGCGGATTTTTTGTTGTCTCGCAGAGAATATATTGTGTATATTTTACTTTGATACCATACATATTATATTAGTATTATACGGAGTATATATTTTTTCTTTTTCTCAAAGCCCCTCCGATTTTCTGTATTTGTAATGAGATTATTCCGAACCGCTTTTAAGCGATCTCTGGACGGATCATAATGCCTAAACTCCCGTCGAAGTTATCGTTTTGTTAACGTAGGATGAAAGGGATCCTTAAATATTCGTTCCCCTTTCAAGTCGCCTGTTAGTGGATGAGGAGTTTGAGGGATATGTTTGAACTCATAGAGGTTATAAAATAATCTGCAACTCTCGGATCCTTGTCATCTTTTGACAGAAATCCGCCATCCCGGACCAAATCCACATCATTCTGCCGGATAAGTGCCAAGAGGCGCGAACCCTGATGCTACTGGAGACTATTTTTTCCATTCTCACCATCTCGTTTAGCGTGATAAACTTGCCTTTTTGGTTTGACCGGTAACTGAAGCTGGATTGGCAATCCCCATCTTTGCCACCAAGGGATTTCTTCCAATCCAGACGAGGAGGCACTCTGCCTGATGTGAGCGGTGGGAATAACGACTTAGTATATAACACTTTTTGGAGATGTGGTATGGTATATGAACAAGCTGGGATGCCTGGAGATCCGTCGATTCCATTTGTGAACTTCCACATTCATTATCTTAAATTCTTCCTGTTACGGCTTTACACCAAACCTATCTCACGCTTGTTTCATTAACCAACTCATTAAGAAATGTCATCCGTTACCCCAGGTTGGTAGTTCTATTCTCTACCGCGAACGGATAGATATAATACATATACATACCTATGCAATATAATAGCAGGAGAATATTGACCTAAAGTCCTCATGTTGACACTTCTCTTCACGATTCATTCACCGGTTCATTGTTGTTTCGTAATGCACGTCCAGGGATATGCGGTTCGAGTTTGTTCGCAACTGTGACAGACTATATCGCAACGGACCTACTACCAAGGGAGCCTCATGGCTTGTCGAAGGCATCCACAATTCTCGACATCGGCTGCGGTGGGGGACAAATAGTCACCGAAATCCTGAAGAAATATATAGCTCAATCCTGCCCGAAAATGTGCGGTCCTTTCGTCAGATTTTGTGGAGGGCATGGCGAATCCGCCAGCTTATTAATCCCGGAGAAAGCAGCATGGGAACGTCTTGAGACGGCTGCTCTCGATGGATGCCACGGACCTGTCGAGTCTTTAAGGACAACGAATGCAGCCACGTTCTCGCAGGGTTTTTGTGTTTAACGGCCTGCCCCGAGCCCGCCAGAGCGTTCAAGGAATCGAATCGCGTTCTTCGGCCAGACGGCATTCTTGCGCTGACCAACGTGAAAAGCGGGGAGTGGGTAGAGTTGCTGTTGGTTATTAAAGATGTTAGGCCGGATTTGCCACAGCCTCTGACAGTGAAATCGTTTGCACCGACGGTGGCATGAAGATATCGATACCAAGGCGCATTTCGAACGTGCTGGCTTTCGGGATGTTGAAATTCAAGAGATTCCGCTTCAGTACGATTTTGCTTCTCATCAGGAGCTTAGGGAGCAGCTGTTTGATTCTTTGCCTTTCCTGGGCAGGTGGCTCAAAGACATGATGGAGGACGAAATTGAAAAAGCAAAGGACCTGCTGGTTGAAAGGACAAGGGAGATGTGTCCAAGTGAAACCTTTTGCTCTTCACGGTAGGAAAACAGGACACATGAGAATAGCTACCGAATGGAAAACTATTTCTTCTATTTTATATATAATTATAAGCATCTCCGAGTCATCAATTCAATGGCCTCAGAGAATTCCAAGAGACAATGTAGTTACCGTCCTTGCCCTTGCGCGAGGAGGCGATGAGGTTCCCGTATCTTGAAAAAGTGGATGACCTCAGTGAAACTACAGTAGTGTCAGTGGTGTTTATTCAAACCCCTTGGAAATCCACTCTGTTCCACAGGTATTCTCAACTAATTTCCCGTCTGCTAGATTAAGATATTGAGTTGGCCAGAAGTGAAGATGAATGGTTCACCCGTCGATGAGTAAAGAATGCACGAACTGGGCTATCGGGGATTAAAACCCCCCCATAAGTGAGAGAGGAGGGCAAGCGAGAGTACCCCGATGATGAAATGGAGAACTCCGTCAGTAAATGGCGTTCGTCCATCGGCAGGCTCCGTCGATTCTCAGATGTCAAAATGCACAGGATAGACGAGCATGGGGCCGGCCTCTCAGGGACCCGACTTCTCCTGGTATGTCGATTTTGGATATGCCGGGAATATGTCAAAGGTGTAAAATAAACATCTTCCACACCTCTGTAAATACCGTAACCCAACAGCTTGCAGAATGAGGCCTGGTTTCCAAGTTGCAATTGCCAGCTAATTGGCGATCCTTTTGATATAAAAGATATAAAAGACAAAAAGGGAACCGTGGTTCTTTAGACTCTGGTTATTGCCGGCGGAGTGGGAAAATAGCCGATCACATGATGCGTGGCATTGCCGACGCCGACTCCAGCCGCTCTCGAAGGCGACAGAGCCGAGACAGAAACCTCCCAACCTTCAAGCTGCAACGTTTGGATTGAATTCCTCATTTTGAAAGGTAGAGAACAAGATGTCTTTTCCACTGCTTGGTCGCAGCGTCCGTAGTGCGAGTCAGCCTATTCTCCGCGCAACCAGATCCGCCAATCGCTCAGTGCGATGGAGTACCTCGATATCACAGCGACCGGGATCGGACAGGTACGTGGCAGTTGATTGCACGCGCTGATATCTAGGAGTGGCTATTGAGGCATGAGGCTAATGAGAATTGTAATTGTGTTGACGCATAGTGTTCGATTCCCGGGGGCAATAGATAGCAAGTTCACGACGAACATGTCATTCATAAATCCCTCTGAGCACGCTGCCATCCCCACGTATCGAGTAATGGACTCTGATGGGGTGATCGTAGACAAGAGTCGAGGGCCACCAGATGTTGCGAGTGAAGAAGTTATTACCTGGTATAAGAATATGTTGACTGGTATGTTCTCAGCGCTGGGATTGTTACTTTCAACAGGAGGGACCGGATGGTCAGCTGATTTGAACGTTCTGGTACTGTAGTGAGCATTATGGACTTAATCATGTTCGATGCACAAAGACAGGGTCGATTGAGTTTCTATATGGTATGCATCTCTGAAAAGCTTACATCTCCGCGTCGAATAATGCAGCTGACCTGCTTCTAGGTCTCCGCGGGAGAGGAAGGTATAGCCGTTGGCTCTGCTGCCGCTTTAACTCCTGAGGACATAGTTTTCGCTCAATATAGAGAGACTGGGGTTTTCCAACAACGTGGATTTACGCTCAAAGACTTCATGAGCCAACTATTTGCAAACCGCAATGACCCTGGGAAGGGACGAAACATGCCTGTTCACTATGGAGGTTCTAAAGTTAACACTGTACGAAAGCCTAGCATCTCATATCTGACATGATTGGCAGAATAGCGCTAACGGGATATAGCACACCATATCTTCCCCACTAGCAACGCAAATTCCACATGCAGCTGGTGCTGCATACGCTCTGAAGCTCCAGTCATTACAGAACCCCAACATCCCACAAAGGATCGTTACCTGCTACTTTGGCGAGGGCGCCGCAAGTGAAGGCGATTTCCATGCAGCCCTCAACATCGCCGCTACACGCTCATGCCCCGTGGTCTTCATCTGTCGCAACAACGGCTATGCCATCTCCACACCCACCCTGGAACAATACCGGGGCGACGGAATCGCCAGTAGGGGAATCGGATACGGCATCGATACCATCCGCGTCGACGGCAACGACATTTTCGCCGTACACGAAGTGACCAGAGAAGCCCGTCGGATGGCTCTGGAAAATGGAGGACGGCCCGTCCTTATCGAAGCTATGAGCTATCGCGTCTCCCATCACAGCACGAGTGATGACAGCTTTGCCTACCGTGCACGGGTCGAAGTTGAAGACTGGAAACGGCGTGATAACCCAATCACGCGGCTGCGGAAATGGATGGAGGGCGAGGGGATCTGGAATGATGACCTCGAGCGTGATACGCGGGATGAGCTGCGGAAGGCTGTCCTGCAGGAGTTTTCGGCCGCTGAAAAGGAGAAGAAGCCGCCGCTCCGGGAGATGTTTAACGACGTTTTTGAAAAGTTGCCGGAGTCCACAGTGAAGCAGAAGGAGGAATTGAAACGTATTCTCGAGAAGTATCCGGCCGAATACGACATTCGTGAGTTTGAAGATGGGATTAAGGGGCTGTGATTTCGGTTGGATTAAAATGGCTATAATTAGGCGCCGTGATGCCTGGCAAGTTGCGATGCAGTTTCGGCTGACAGTGAAGCCCAACGATGTGTTCTGTCTTGGCTCTTATAATGATGCATGACTGAAAAACTTACAGGAATTGAGATCAATGTCGAGTCACTCACTACCTAGTTTTCCATTTATCCATCAATGGAGAGGCTATGTCAGCTTTCCACAGAATATAGACATTGTTTTTAGATATATGTATGGATACGTGTGTATCCCCATCTTGCATTTCTACCCCATCCATCTGGGCCTCTAGCGATGACATGATTTATTTCGATTAGATACTAGTCCACACTTATCTATATGTACTCCAGATTACACCCACCAGCCTTTATTTTTAGAGAGATTGGATTGGGTGGTTCGTCCCCTCTACCACCCGCATGGTGCTGGTGGTGAAAGAGCTCTTTTGCCCCAGTGGCCCTAGATTTTTCACAACCTCACTGTAAACATCAGGAAACCGCTAGTCCCAAAAACCATCGCTACTGCTATCAATTAACTACAAGTAAATCGATGAATCACTCAATATTATATTAAGTTATCATGAGACGATCCTAAGCAGCACAAAATCTACGCTGTTGTTGAATCATCAGGCGACAAGTATGGAGGCCAAAAGTGCCATTGTCATGCGATGCAAATGCAAATGCAATGCGATACAGGTAAATGAACAAGGCAAATGTAAGAGGAAACAAATAAAATAAAGCTAAAAACTAAAAAAAGAGACCCAGCTGGCTGTGCAGCCATTAAAAAAAAAAAAAAAAAAAAAAAAAAAAAAAAAAAAAAAACTTCCCAGGAGTAAAAGACAGTGCCATAAAAAAAAATAGACTGGATATGTAGAAAACCGCCATAACAAAATCAGTAATCCGCCATTCTTCACAAACGGAAAGAAAAATGTTCCTGCAAGTCCATTGTGGCGGAATGAACATAGGAATTCACACCAGGGGTGAACCCTATATCATAGGTTTTATCTTTTTGCTTGCTTTTCTTCCTTTTTTTCTTTTCTCATTTTATTATGCAGAGCGGTTTTAAAATTTCGGTGGGGAGGACCGGATAGATAAAAGAGGAGTGGAAAAAAGCAACAAAAAGGAAGCAGATAAAAAGAAAAGGAAAAAAAACCTGCATAATAATACATGGCAAAACTGGAGATAGGGAGATGTTGGACGAAAGACAGCCAAGCTATACTCGATACACCGAAGATCCAAGCTCCAACTTTCCTTCACACCACTTATTCCTCTCACTCTACTCAACCCCCCCCCCCCGTTACAGCATTGACGCTTCAAGCTGCCAACAATACAACAAGCAGTAGAAATAGTACAACAACCGCAATTCACAACCCCATATCTGAAGTAGACCCCACAAACTCCATCGCAGCAGAAAGCGCTTGCTGCACCAGCTTCTTATTCCGCTTCACAAGCGTCATAACTTTCTTGTCAACCATATCCACCTCTTTCCGCGAACTCTCCAGCTCGCGCTGTGCCTCCTCAATCATTGCTTGTAATTCCTCATCAGACATGCTCATGAGGTCCTCGAGACTAACGCCAAGGTGGCTTCCGCTCGTTGTCGATTTTCGCGCGGTGGATGATCGGTGAGAGCAGGCGGCTGTAGCCGTGGTGCCTGTGGAAGCAGAACCATGAGCAGCATCAGCAGCTTCTGAAGATGAAGATTCGGTAGAGAAGCCACTGGCGCTGACAGGTGGCGGTGAGGGCATGGAGGAGGGTTTCACAGAGCCGGAGAGGAGACCATTTTCTGGCGCACCATCAATCCAACGGATGTTGAAATTTTCAGGCGTCGCAAAAAGAGCATCTAGCCCACCACCGCGGTTCGTGGCATCAGGCTCCGTGGCAGTTAACGCCGGATATTCCTGTAGAGACTGCCATGCGGCTGCAAGACTCTTTTCGAGTTCGAGGTAACGGAATTCCTCCTCTTCGGATAGGTGGCGGAGGACGCAGCCAGCTGGCGTTATGAGGCAGCGACACTTGAGGAGGTCAGTGTCTGCATTAATGTGAACCGGTTCACCCTGGAGTAACTTTGTTCTATGTTCTTCCGCCAGTTCAATAGGATTTTTCAAAATATCGTAATCATCCGCCGAGCATTTCAAATCTGAGCGCTGATTGAGGTTTGGTGGATTGAAAAGTGGGTGAGTAGTTAGATCAAGATCACCAGATTGATGCAACTGCGCAAGTAGAACTGGAAGGGGAGAAGTTCGCTCCAAGAAAAGATCCTTCACTGGTATACCAGTAGCTTCAGAATCAGCCAAAAGTTGCCCAGCCGTATTGTTCGACCTCCATGGTTCAGATTTTTCAGATTTTTCAGTGGTTTGACTTCGTTGCGCGTGTTCTTTAGGAACAGATTCTCTGGAAGCGTTGTCTGATCCTTTGGTTTGTGTTGATGATTCTGAGTGATTCTGGCTCTTGTTTTTGGATTTAGCAACGTGTGGAGCATTATCTGTAACTTCAGGTTTAGAAGCAGAAGCAGCCTGTTGTTCCTTAGCTGGTGCCGGTGCTTTCTTTGTCTTCCGCTTCCTGCCGATGATAGGAGCCTGAACGGGCTCTTCAGCAACTACTGGAGTGGGATGGGTTTCCTCCTTTTTGACCTCAGCTTGCTTAGCCTTGAGCTTTCGCTCCTTTTTCAATTGACTTTTTGTGATTGAACGGACAGGCGCTGAGCCAACACGACTTGGTGGTGGTGAACTTGCCCTAGACACAGATGCAGAGGTATGGAAGTCATACTCAGAGTCGACATTGTTAGGGGTATCTGGGCGACTGTTGGTTGAAAGACTAGGCTGCCGTGAGAGGTGTTTGGAAGGCGGAGTGGAATTGTTTGGCGCTACTGACGAGGTAGGTGTCTCTGATTTCGAGGTGTCAACAACACGCAATACTCTAGTTTGTCGAGGGACGGGAGAGTTAGATGTGCGTGAGACACTAGTCAACGGGGTGTTAGGGTGGGAGGAAATATTTGATAATTGATGTATGGAAGAGACATTATGATTCGGCGTAGTGGTTCGGGACGGAGAGGCATGCCCGGGCGTTGGCATCGAAAGATTAAGCTTAATGGGTATCGGCTTGCTGTGAGGCTCACGAGGCTGTTTGCCTTCTTTTGTGATAGGTGCCGCTACCTTTTCAGGACTAAGTTCTCGATCCTTATCCTTTTTCACAATTAGGTTGTCATTCTGTTGCCCAACAGCGGTTGCGGTTTTAGGCTTTGGGGAACCAGAAGATATTTCTATTGCCGCGCGCGTCCGTGCAGGTACAGAAGGCACAGACGACGATGCTTGCACGTCTGATGTGTGGTGTGCTGAAATATGTAATTCTTTGAACTTTTGTACAGGCGTCGAAAATCCACTTCGTAAAGTAATGTGTCCCGGTTGAGGACTTGAAACTGCAGAGGTGGATGGACTGAGATCTTGGACGAAAGATGCCGCAGGATGTCCATGTGGTAAGGGAAGACCCGGTGGCAGTACAGGAGTTCTAGACCTATAAGGTGAATCGTTGGAATCGTGAGATGCACGGGATCCTGACGTAATTCGGAATGTTTCTAGAGGGCGTTTGTCAAGAGGTTTGGTTGGAGGGCCTAGCGGCGGGAAATCTTCATCTGCTAGGTCCAGAATATCTCGATTAGCATACATCAAAAGAAATTAGCCGTGTAGGAAACCAATAAATAGATGCGCTGCTGAACGACCCAAAGTATAAAGAATTCAATCAGACGCGTAGAAGGGTCAAACCCGCAAACAATATGGAGGGGCTACATGGAGACACTGGCGGGATATATACAAAATGATTGGCCTCTTCATTACAACAGTGGCCACGAAATGAATTGAGAGGGGAAAATTTGTGGACGGCGAGTCTATATGAGCAATAAATGTGAGAAAATTGCTTTGGAAATAGACCTGACTTGGGTACAAGTCAAGGTAAGGGAGACTTAACGTACAAATGAAAGGCCCGCCATCACCATGCCGGCGGGCCGTAAGTGCTCGAAAATTAAAACCTGTGCTGCTAATGAAGAGCCCCAAGCTTGTAGCAAACCCCTAGAGAAGAGTAGATCTCTACAAACAAAGCAGGAAAGTAATGCGTTGACGCCGTCCTTCAGTCTCGCCGAAATGTGACCATAACACCCAGGTAACGCCCGAGGCTCGCCTAACCCCGTTATTTTGAATCGATTGCCTTATGCTGCACAGGAAGGGAAGAGAAACGAAAGACATTAAAAGGGAAATGTCAAACGAATATCAGAAATCATTGTGGGAAGCCATAAACTCCCAAAATTCAGGGAGGGGAAAATGACAATGTGAGGGAACGCGAGAACAAAGAGAAAGCATGACTTATCATCAAGTAAATATGACGTGGCAACAAACAAGCTACAAGGAAATAAAAGAAAAGCTACGGAAATGTAGGTCCAGCAGCGCAAAGGGGGAAATCATCACCATCGGCCAAAGCCACCACCATAGACCATGTTGGAGTGATTGTACCCACCTTGGCCCTGGCTCCCGTAAAGTCCCTGCCCAGGGGTAGCACTAGTAGCACTTTGGTGCATTCTAGCCTGCAAAATACTCGGGTCCGCAAGATCTACTACACCACCTCCGCCGGAGGAAGTGTTAGCGTGTCTGTGCTTCTTCCCCCTCTTCTTCTGCTTCTGTGGTCCTGGATCTTGGTGGGACCCATTATGATGGCCATAGAGAGAGTTGAGAAGGCCAGATACGGGAGCCAGGGGAGGGGGTGTGTTATGCATCTGGAGAAAAGGAAACATAAACTCACGCTTAGCAGCCTCATGCGCTTGAACGCCGCCGCCACCACTCGTGCCACTTCGACCACACATAAGTTCACGCATTAGGTCCGGGTTAGGATCTTGCTTGGTCCCAAGGCCGAGGTTATTGTTCATTGTGCTTGTGAAGCCATGGCCTTGAGCAAACATTCCTCCACCACTAATCGGCGGAGTTCCAGCAGTTTTCAAGCCAGGCGGAGGACCCTGAACACCACTAACGAAGTAATGATTTCCCAAACCATGTTGTCCAGTTACATTAAGGGGATTCTGATTGGCGCCCTGCGGTGTCGATGTCTGCTGATTGACCAGTCTTTGATTGGAGGTATTCTTCGCATTGGCTTCATTCGCAAACGAGAATCTCGACGACTGTCTGGCATGTCCTTGCATAACAGGTATTTGCGGGATCTGATTCTGGTACACACCTGCCCGTTGTTGAGAATTGTGCTCGAATGAGTTAGAGACAGAAGTTGTTTGTAATTGATCCATTAATCCCATGTGTTGTCCGCCAGCGTTCTTCAGCAACAGAAGTTGCTGTTGCTGGAGGGGCGTGAGGCTCCTGCCTGCAATGTTTAGACCTTGGAACTGGTGCCCACCAGAAGAAACGGGCGATCCAATAGCAGAATTTGCTGTAGTTGTTTGTTGTGACGGAGGTTGAATGGCACTAAGTGTCTCTCTTGCATTCCGACCAGAGAGACCAGCAGTATGCATCTCTTCTGGCTCGCCTCCGAGCTGGGAACTTCCTCCCTCAAGATTTTCTTCCTCATTAGCAATTGGATGAAGTAACAGTTGGTTGTCAGTTACTTGGTTTGTACGTTCATGTTCTGCTTTCTCACGCATAGCACGACGTTTCACCCCGCCATAAGGATCAATCATTGAAGGATGATTTTCAAGGTACGCAAGCTCCTCAGGAGGCAATCCAGCGGACGAAAATATAAAACGGAAGTCGGGATTGTTTACGGCTGTCACAAGACCATCCAGCACTGGAATTTCGTGAGGCCCAGACGGTATAGGAGAGTCTGTTCGAGTCACATGTGGAGAAGAGCTTGAGGCCTCTGCTACAGTCGGGGTTTGCTGGCGGGAGGGTTGTTGTCCGGATTGGGATTGTCTCCCCACACTGCGTTTTAATTCCTCAATCTTGTTGACTACAGCATTCGATCCTTTCGGGCTTGGAGAAGAGTGGCTAGCCGTCACACTTGGTCGTCGTGTACGTTGCACATGGGAATCCTTATTGGCCCAGCTTGCAGACGATGGTAGAGCTGAGGAGTCCGTATTGGTTCGATTCCCCGTTTCATCTCTGCTATTTTGTCTCCGCATCGGCTGTACTCCGGCAGGTAGTTGGATAGGATGTGAAGAAGGCCTGACGGGCTGAGCGTGGTGAGTATAGGGGGAATATGTGGAAGGGCCAGGTCCATTTGGTGGGTTGGGATGGGCACGTTGTGATGACATGGTGTTCATGGACGATAAATCTTGGCGGCTGAAGCTATCGTTGTCTTCTCCGGTCTCATGAAGGAACGTACAGTTACGGTTGTTACACTGTTCATTTCGAAGAAACGATGAACAGTATTTCGTGGTTCCATATTGGGCCCTGTAACAATCAAATTAGTATCTAAAGTGAACGGTGGTTTGGAGGCCGAATAGCCATTGGCGAAAATAAACCGACCTAAGTACACGATCACCGTTGGGAGATCCATCTACCGCCGCAATGCACGTTGCAGCATCTGCCTTACGAGCGAAAGTGACATAGACACCAATGCCCTGGTTTGGGTTGCCACCCGGTTTTGCTTTGCTAACAACAATCTTTTCAATATCACCGTATTGTCCAAAGTACTGGTCTCCGCGCAAGGTCTGTAATAGTTGACTTTCGTCTCGTATCGTGGGGTTGAGGCCAATGACATAAACAAGGTTCTTCTGGACTACACGGACACCGGCAAGGTTTCTTCGACTGGAAGCTTCTATTTCCCGCTTTTCAGCCTCCCGCCTCTTCGCTGCTGCAGCTTTGCGATGTTTCAATGCCAAATCCGCTTTAAACCTAATTCAGTTGCGATCTGTATTAGTAGGATATATAGAAGGTCGTCGAAAGGAGGGGATGGTGACTCACTCATCGACATCTGGAACTCTATATTGAATTGTGCTTTCATCGTATACACGCCTACAGTTTGGACATCGACCTTCTTCACTATGTGTTTTTATATTATTGTAGCAAAACTGGCAGATCTGTGGACAATCTTAGCCGCCACGGTTTAGCTGAGCGAGGATATAACCTCCTCCAAAACAACGGTTTCAAAAGAGGCCAAATCCAGCGACGAAGGGATCAAGGGTAGGTTAAATGCATACCTGATATCCACAGGGACATGGCTTGAAGTTTTTATCCGACAGGTCGAACTCTTCGATGCAAAGGGGACTATTGCGGGAAAGAAATATTATCAGCGAAAATCGAACAAGTTTTCGACGGGGTCCAGCAGGACAATAGGGTGGAAACAAAACTTACCACGACTCGTCATCATCATCGATTACTGTGTCATTTTGTGTACGGGATGACATAGCGACAAGTCTCTCCCAGCGAACCTAGAGCAACACTTCTACAGCTATGAAATTGATCCAGCGTGCCAGAACTCATGAACAAGTTTTTGGGGGGTACAGATCAGGAGTGGAAGAATTTGAGCCCGGCAAAACTACGACCCCGCAAAACCGTAGGTAATAGCACACGATGACAGCAGGTCGACAGCCGAGGGGTATGTCTAAGGAATGTAGAGGAATGAAGAGGAGAGTTGCCGCGTCGCAGGTGCCAGCGTGGTGATGGCGAGAGGAGTTGTAGTGGAAAGAGGAGAATGAGTTGAGGATGAGCTTTCTTACACACTAGTCCCGTTTTAGACAGATTAGCTCATCCATCATGTGTGACATCACGTGGTAATTATTATGTAATCCAGGCGTTCATCGTTCCTGCGCCTGTGTTGGGCCGTTCTCCAGAGTATCTATTCCCATTCACACCCCAATTGATCCATAATCATGGCGTCTGCACGGCCGGCCATGCGTCTGGGCTCCAGTCGCTCCCTGGCCTCTACTGCTAGACCGTCTTCTGCGCGCTTCTTCTCCGCAGCTAGCCCGTTGCGACAGGCGAAGGTCGTATCCAACACTCCAACCCCAAATATGAGAGAGCTACCTCGCCCTGGTCAGTTCACACTCTAAACCTCTTTGACAAGCTGCTATATCAATTCCGTATGTGCTGACACTTTTTTCTGGATGCCTCCAGCCGTCGGGGAATTACACCGCTCTGTTGTCAATCCCGTAGACAAATACGCCGAAAAATCCGCGAGCCTACACAAATATGGCCAATACCTCATGTCCTGCCTGCCGAAATATATCCAGCAGTTCTCCGTCTGGAAAGACGAATTGACCATCTACATCCCCCCTTCAGGCGTCATACCTACTTTTACTTTCCTCAAACAACACACGGCGGCGGAGTATACACAAGTTGTTGACATTACGGCTGTTGATTTCCCCGGCCGTGATCAGCGCTTCGAGGTAGTTTACAATCTTCTCAGCGTGCGTCACAATTCGCGGATACGTGTCAAAACGTACGCGGACGAAGCCACCCCAGTGCCTAGTATTACCTGTCTCTACGACGGAGCCCTGTGGTACGAACGTGAGGTGTACGATTTGTTTGGCGTGTTTTTTGTCGACCACCCTGATCTCCGACGTATTATGACGGATTACGGATTCGATGGACATCCACTGAGAAAGGATTTCCCACTAACGGGATACACGGAAATTCGATATGACGAAGAAAAGAAGAGAATTGTCGTTGAGCCATTGGAGATGACACAGGCTTTCCGCGACTTCCAAGGGGGGTCCTCTGCCTGGGAACAGATTGGAGATGGTATCGACAAGACACCAAGCGAAGTAAGTCATTTCTACGCTCATAATGGAGAGAGCCCCCGGTTAACCCGTGATGCACAATAACAGTTCAAATTACCAAGCCCCAAACCTGAAGAAAAGGAGGAGCCGAAAAAGTAGCACATATATAGTGTATAACAATTTATTTCCGTTTTTATTGTGGATTTATTTTAGCTTCAAAACACAATCTCCCTGGTGTTCATCTCATGTCATCTACATGACCAAATGTGTCCTAAACTCGCTACATTTTCTCCATAGTCATATGTCCACCCAGATTATAACAATAAACACATCCAAGAATTAAGGCAATCAGGGTATAGCACACCATATTACCCGAAAAACCTCAACTCATCTGCATACAACGTTAGAAAGAGGAGCGAAGAGAAAGCAAAAGAAAATAGCCATCCTTTTTTCTTTATTCTCAGGATAATCCTCTGCTCTTTCTGCCCTATCTCCCGAGGCAGCAGCTCATCCCTCTCCCACATTAACTTTACAGCAGCGCATACCAGAGACAGCACACAAGAAAGCCACGTTAGCTCCCAGCCGGATACATCCCATGCCAATCCTACTAGCCCGATACGCTATTAACATACAGGCTAATAATCCAAAGCAGCATGCCTCCCGTTCCCAGTACCTGTGATCCCATTGCAGGAGCTACAGCGCCCCTTCACTAAAGGATTTCACTTGGACGCCAGTCCAGGGCATTTTGATCAGAAACACGCGCGCTGGTGCAGGGCGGTAGCTACGTCCTGGTCAAAGAGAATAGGGAAGATGGCAGCGGTAGGTAACAAGGACCAGGTGGCGATGTGTAGCTGAGAAGGTGCGATGAAGCTAGTGGTGCGATGAGGCTGTAGCTTTAATACGCTCCAATATCACTTGAAAGGATATCTATTCGATTCTCTAAAATTGATCAGATGAGCAGTGGAAAAATCAAAGGGGTACAGTTGGAAACTATAATGTACCCATAACTTGTGGCGTTTTCTGGATGCTTAAGGTGGGTATTGGGCAGCGGAGGGGATTTGAAATGGTTGATAGATATGCCTAGGGGTATATTTGATTCCTGATCGAGGATGAAAGGCATGGTCAATATGTGATGAACATCCAGTTTCTGTTCGAGATGAAATGCTCGCGAGCTTCCCGAGTTTTTGCTCCTCGCCTGCTCGTTTCTGCCCAGGCTATTTCACAGATTTTGGATAATTTTGCGGGAGAACCTAAGATAGGGATACGGGCTAAGAATAAAGCTCACACTGGAACGAATTTACATCTGGACGGACTGATCAAGAGTAGACAAAAACTTTAGCAATGCAAAGTGGGTAGATAGGCGGCAGTGAACTTGTTTTCTGTCGTTATTCACGATTTTGTGTCAAGAATAGGGACCGAACAGTATGGGCATTGTGAAGTGACGATATTAGACAAAGGTCGGAATTCGCACTGTCGTCGACTATCCCTAGCCACCTCAGGATCAAGAGCAGTAAGGCGATTTCAATCCGTCCTCAGCCAGAGATACCACACATCCTCTTACCCAAGGAGTATTCTCAAACATAGAAGCTTGCTGAAGTTGCGCTTCAAATTCTACTTTATACTGGACACTCGGCACGCTTGATACCCTGCAATATATCCGCAGCACCAATAAAACGCACTTTGGCAAAATATCCATGAGAGAGGTATTTTAAGCGGACTTCCAGACGGAATCCAGCCGGGCCACCTGCGAGCCATTACCGTCCTGAGATCAACGCAAGTTCCAAAATCCAAGAATCGGGTCCGTGGCATATTTGAAATAGCCGCTGGACTGTACCCTGGCAAAGATGTATGTATTTTTAGCCGCCCACCCTGTCGGCAAACCAAAGGTGACTGACCGCGTCCAGGCAGCCAGCCCGCCGGCCGGTGTGCTCGTAGGGTAATCAAGCATGATTGATCTCCAATCCGACATGACAATTTAACAACCAGTACGGAGTATAAGAATCTGGCAAGGAAACTTCGCTTCCAAGTTTTGATGTTGAGTTTTGCCGATAAAAGCGGGGCACATGATCATGTGTGCCAAGTCTTCGGCGGTCGGCAACCGCATCAAACAAGAACTCGGCACTGGGTTGTAACCGGCTATTGCTCTAAAGTTTCCCTGGATTACCTTTATAAAGCGAATATTTTGAAGGGAGCATTTAGAACCGGATATCGCTAGGAAAGAACGTCTAGAGAACTCAGGAATGAGACGAATATTAATCTTCCTCGAGAAGGCTAGCTAACTGGCCACTAGAGGAGATGGATGACTACCTTGGTGACTTTTTGGGGTATAATAATAATAATAATAATAATAATAATAATAATAATAATAATAATAATAATAATAAAAGGGACGCCCTCGTAATTTACACGAGGACAGACCGAAGGCGAACAGAAGCAAAATCAATATCTGACAAAAAATTCCTCAACTCCAATTCATCCCTCATGATAAACCAAATTGGAGTCGTTGCGTAGAGCTCCCCTTTTCCCGAAAATTCGTATCCCTTCTTCCCTATCTAGATATCTAAAAAGTGACACCTAACGACATTCCTTCTGTTTTAATAGAGCCCCAATGCAGAGAATTGAAAGCAAGTCCCTCGCTAACGCAGTAAAAAAACCTCATTACTAAACACCTCCAAACGAATCGAGTAAATCATGCAGTTGGGATGAGATATCACGCGGCCATTCGAGATCAGCGAAAATCATCGTAGTATTTTGCGTTAACAATATTTCGACCAAAGGGCTCGTCTGTGTCGTAGCAAAAGGGTAAAAGTCTGTCGCATTTATAAGTGTTCCGGTTGCAAGATCGGCCAATTCAGAGAGTGAGTTTATAGGTCTCACGTCCATAGTGAGCGTTGGGGACCGCTCTTCGGAGACAGCAAATCGATTATTCGCCAGAAGGCCGTCGAATGCTTGGTCCAACATGCTCGCAGATGGCCACATTGTGGCCATCTCTTTTAGGGCAATTCTAAGGATTTTGATATGGCTGTCCGCAGTTGTGGTCAAGGTTTGTATTCGACGCGCATGCAAAAGTGCTAAGATTGCAACCGCAATGTGCCACACCCCCATCCCCTGGAGAAATCGTATGGAGCCTCGTGTCAAGAAGTCCTCGAAAATACGGGCAACGCAGGACGCAGAAAGGACTGCAGTGGTATACGCTTTGCGGAGCGGCTGGGAGGATTTTGTTAGATACAGAAGGGTTATTGTGGTAAGGTAAGGTAGATGCAATTGATGCACATCCCGGTTGAATGGTGTCGTGCGATTAGTTGCGATGGGCAGGCGCAATGGCTCAGGAAGGGACTGAACCCAATCAACTAATTCCCTGGCTAAATGCCCTGGGAATTGGGTTGTTTCGTTTTTTTGTAACAGATATTTTGCAACTTTGCCAACAACACTGGAAAGTCGAACCCAATATATAAAAGTTTGCACGCGGAAATGGTCTTTTGGTTCAGGAAAGTCCTCCGGGGACGGCTCTCTAACGTTGCAATCTGAGGGATCAATTATGCAAGGCCTGCCTTGGCATATACTGGTTAGGCGTTCCCTTGCCTGTGTCTTCTGTTAGCTGATAAACTCAATAATAATTGAATTTTTTCCACATACAAACAATGTCCACCAAAGTCTTCGTCGCAAACCTGGTGATTCATTAGGTCGCATAACCTGACCAGGCGTTGGCTCTCGGTGCAAGCCAATTTGCTGTGCTAACCTGATGGCAACACCTGTCCACCACCACACAGTGTCGAGGCTGGGGCTATTCGGAGCCGATCCCCACCAATAAAACAGCAGAAGTGCTTTCATGCATGTTATCGGGTTGCTTTCATGGTTCCCAAGAAAAAGGGCTTTCGCTCGGTTGTAGTACACGATTGGAGGGACCTGCTGCAGTACGGACGGCTGGATTCGGCTTCCAAGAAGCGCTAATGCCTGGTTGAGGAGGACAGAGTTGGACTCCTCTTGTTCCGGAAAGAGAGTGGAGTTGTCGAGAATGGGACACCATGTGTAGCAAAACTGAAAGTAAGTGTCCATGAAACTTTCTTGCAATGCCGGGGATGGTAGATCTACAGGCTGCAGCACCGGTTGAGATGAGTTGAGCTGGCCCATTGCCGCAGAGTTATCCAATATCTGTAGGAGACCTGATCCGCTGGAATACAGGGCATTCTGGGCTTGTCCGCTATCGTGCGCCTTAACGGGTAAGGAGGCTGTCCGAGCTGACGGAAATTGGGAGGTTGGTTGGCGAATGCCTTCCGGAGAACTTGGATAGGAGAGTGGGGGCCTCCCAATTCCTCCTGAGAAATGCGAAGTGCTTTCCGTGGCCATTCGATCATCCGTTACTACGCAGTGGACAGATGGCTCAGTTTTAACATGAACCTGGCTATGATTGCTCGGTGTCGATTTAGAAGTGGGGTCGTTTGGCAAGGACACAATGGGCAAGGAATCGACGGTATCAAAATCATCTAGGCTACTATGCCGGACCGATGCTCGATTACCTGCGCCGCGTTTCGATGGACGAATCCTTTTAAAATCGGTCAATACATGGGGATATATATTGCTCCCAAGCACAAAGTTTATGATACGTACCGGCATTCATACCCAGCAATCTCGCACCTCGAGCATCTCGGAGATTCGCATTCGGAGTTGTTGACTTGTAGGTCACATTTAATCTATTCTACCGGTTAGCATACATGTCCCAGCCGATTAGCTTAATTGCATCCGGTTACCTTTTTCTCGTGGCACCGAAGGCAGACAAGGCGGGCACGCTTATTGCCTCGAGGCCCTCTACGGACTTTGGGTGGGGGTTCTGGTGTTTGCGAAGCCATGGCAGGCGTTGCTAGGATTACGAAAAGCTCGTGAATGATTGCCGATGCACCATTTTTATATCCACAGCTCAGACCGTTAGCCGTTTTGCTGCTAAAAGCGCGATCGTTAAATTTACGAGATGCCGAGTTTGTTCCCACTGTCCCGATTCAGAAGAATAGCCGCTTGGCTCACAGCCGCGCTTACTCAGCAAGTTACACGTGACTTAGCGCATTATCAATTTTGCTTGACTGTCTCCAGCCGATAAACACCAGTGTTTTATATTTTATATTTTGTTGTTGGTGTTCAGTTGGAGAGCATTTGATCGCGCAGCTACGGTTCTAAGGGACAGGTATACTTAACCGTTACCATGCCAAAAAGGAAACGAGGCGACCATGAGGAGTCGAGCATGCTATCCAACCAGGATGATAGGAGACTGCGAATCCAAATTGCCCGTCTCGAGCAGAAGTTGGAGCATGGCTGTCAACTAATCTTCCGGGCTCTCAAAACCGCCCGTGGTTTCGAACGCCAAAAGCTGGGACGTCGCCAAAAGACTTCTAAACAGAAAAATGAAACCGCACAGCTATCCCGAATAGGGGAGGAAATTCAAGCTTTAAAGGTGTGATTTTACTTGTTTATTTCTACCAAGTATATATATATATATATATAATATATGTATTCTCGAATTGACAATCGTAGGCCCTGGATCTAGGAGTTACTGCGGAACGACACTTGCTCAAGCATCTGGTGAGGACGAAGCGGATTGCAGAGTCTCCAGCGTTTTCTAGATTTCTGTCCGCAAGGAAACCCCGCCTAGAAGGCCCACAAAATGGTCCTGAAGCGAATGTTATAGCTCGTTTATTCAATTCAAACCCTGTGAGAAACGTTCTACCGGGTATAACAAACGACATACGTCACATTTTAGGCATTAGTGACAGCGTACTTACTGCAAAACCAATGGATCGTGAGAACCCCCCGCCAAATCCCAAAGGTTCGGAGATAGTGGAGGAAGGACCGGCCTCGAAACTGCACCAAGCCTACGAAAGCGATCTTGAAATGGAAGATGCATACATAAAACAGTATAATGCGCAATTAGCATCTTCTTCAGAATCGGAACCTGAAACGGATGACCAGGGAAAGGACGAAAACGACCATCATTCCCATCTAACTTTGGCGGGAATTGAACCGCCCCTCTCACCCACATCTTCTATCGTATCGTTGGAACCTACGTCGAAAACCACTACCAAAACTTCCAAGCCGAATAATAAGAATGCGGAAACAGCGTTTCTTCCTTCCCTGACCATGGGTGGCTACTGGTCAGGATCAGAATCCGCCGAAGAGGACGCGGCAGCAGCCGCCATTCAGCCGCGGAAAAACAGGATGGGCCAGCAAGCTAGGAGAAAATTATGGGAAAAGAAGTTTGGTTCAGGGGCTAATCATCTTAAAAACCAACCGCCAGAGAAGGAAAAATCGCGTGATAGTGGATGGGATATGCGGAGAGGAGCTTTGTCTCGTGATGAGACGAGAGGGAAGCGGGGAAGAGGGGGGCTTCCGGGTGCCTTGTCTTCTCGAAGACCCAAAGTCGAAAGCGCCGCACAGGCTCCAAATCCGAACTTTGAACAGCGTAGGAATCGCCAAGACTCAGAGCAAAAGCCTCTGCATCCTTCCTGGGAAGCAGCGAAGAAAGCCAAGGCATGGAAAGCTCAGGCTTCTTTCCAGGGGAAGAAGATCACATTCGACTGATTCGTCTGTGAGAGGGACCGGAAACCTCTTACCTCGCAACCGATTACCACCTAGTTATCTACATGCGCTACAGTCCTTATATTTTTCTACAAAATGACTGCCCGTGTAGGGCGTAAAGGCGAGCAACTCCGAGCTAAAATATGCTTAGAGGTTTTTAATCAAGAGATACCCTGTCCTATATATCCGCCTCTATTAATTTATACATAATAAATTTATATTTAGATCTACCACAGTATGGGGCCTTGTACAGTATATCTTCGATATTTTAGCATTTAGCAGGTACAGTACAATGTGGGAATAAACTATCAAATGTAAACTCATGTTATCCGCAGTCGTACCATCACAACACCATACCTGCAATAGTTAACTACATAGTGCGAGTATAATACACAAATCTATTAAATCGATTGACAAAATTACGGAGTGGAAAACAAATGTAATAATGAGACAAAACCCACTTGCTACGGATTACATCCAGCGGGGGCAACCTTGGTGGCTGGATCTGTGTTTATTTACCTCCCGCCATGGCGTCACAATGCGACTAACAATCGATGCGGTTCGCGCCCAAACCACCTCCGAAGAGAGCCTTGCGTGCCAACACAGTTCTGCATGATCAGGCGACGGCGCTCGACTGATTCTTGGGGTAGCCGCCAGCTTTTCCAGCGCTGTAGTTGGCTGCACAGTGTTTTTATTCTCCAATTATCTACCAATGACCCAGCCTGTTGGCACAGGCGTCAATATCTCTTTTCACAGGGCTAGCTCCGTGTTTTGTTTGGCAAGGGAATATTGGCTTTGTCCCGGTTTTACAACAAATGCGCACAGGAACATCCTGGCCACCGCAAACATGCGCAGAACCGGGCAAACGGCAGGACAAATGAAACCACCCAGAAACGACTGAAAAATTGGTTCGGCTAAGACGTGCCGTATGATATGGCAGAAATGGCGGGCGGCACTTCACGCTTTGAAACCATTGGGCCCCTCAATTGAGGGCCCCGCGTACACGTTGTCCTGCATCTTTGGAAATGATACACCGTCCGTACTTCGCGACCAAAGACTCCACACATGGCCGCCATCTTCCAGAACGCATCCCTCCCTCCTGTCTTATCGAATTCTTTCGACCTCGCATCGATTTCCCGTGCTTCTTGCTGGACCATATCTCCTCGTTTCTGCAATAAAATCAAATATCACTGCAGAACCTTCGTGGCGGGTCCGAAAAAAGCGTATACAGAATTATACAACGAGGACATCATGTCTCCTCCAAGCCCCTACAGGCCGCGTGATAGCTTTTCCGTATCAAATCGTCCCGTAACACCAACAAAACCATTTATCCAGGCACCACGGCAAGAGGATGATGATAATTCTCCGGCCGCGTTTTTATACAAATGGATCAAGAATGAGAGCCCGAGACTCAGCCGCCCTTTGTCCAGCTACAGTGGCACCAGGACCGAAAAATTTTACCAGGAGAACGAACATAACAAATCGGAAGCCAAACTACCTCTAGAACAAGCTTTGATGCATAAAGAGTTCCACATCGAGGCGTTGCGGGGACAAATACGGAAGCTGATTAGCGACCACACCACAGAGTGCTCTGGATTGAACGACAAGATCAATGGACTTCAGGGACAATTGTCTTCTTTTCGAATTAAATTGCAGAATGACCTGGACGCTGCCAATGAAGCTAAGGCTAAACTAGAAGAAGAAATAAAAGAGATGAGACGGGCTTTTGTGGAAAAATCCGAAGCCCTTGAAAATCATCAGAAGCAGCGAGACGAAGAGACCAAGGAGCTTCGCCGAGCACTTTCCGAAAAGTCCAAGGCTCTAGAATTCTTCAAACGGGAGCGGGACGAAGAAGTCAAAGACTTGCAGCAAAAATTGGCGGAAAAGTCTGAAGCTCTAGAGTGTCATAAGAAAGAGAGAGAGGAAGAGGTGAAGGAAGTACGACGAACTCTCATAGAAAGGTCTGGAGCTCTGGAATGCGACAAGCAGCGGCTGGAGGAGGAAGCCGAACAGGTACGGCACACCTTTGCAGTAGAAGCTGAAGCGCAAAAATGTCATATTCAAGAGCTTGAAGAAGAAGTCACACGGCTACGGCAATCTCTCACGGAAAAGTCTGAAGCCCTTGAAGTTCGTGAGCGGGAGCGGGAGGTGGAGATTAAGGTGTTACAGAAAACTCTTGCAGATAAATCCGAAGCTCTACAACTCCACAACCAACAACTTGCAGAGGAAATTAAGAAGTTGCAAAAAGCCCTCACGGAAACATCCGAAGCTCTGGATTCCCGCGAACAGGAACCAAAGAACGAGTTAAGTGAGCTGCGACTAACTCTGGAGGAGAGGTTGAGAGCTCTAGAAGAGCTTGAGAAGGCAAAAGAGCAAGCTCTTGCGGCACAGAAATCGGAACTGGAGAAGCATTTCCAAGACATCAAGATAGAAAATGATCGAGTGGCCAATGAACGGCTGGGGGAACGAGAGAAAGAGCTGATTGCTCAACTTAACAAGAAGCATAATACAGAATTGGAAGACCTTCAAGCGTCGTTTGCGGCAGAACTCCAGCACATCCAAAAAGCACACGCTGCCGCGATTCACGAATTCGTTGCCAGGCTAGAAGGGAGCGAGGACAGCCATGGCGTTGGAGTACGAGGTGGAAAATTAAGGCGAAACCGAAACAAAGGGAAAGGAAAGGGGAAAGGCGAGAGCCGCATTCGCATGCTATTAACAGAGATTTTCCATACGGGCAAGACCAAAACGAGCAAGCTCTCTTGTGAACATACAAGAGAGTCCAACTCTCGTCATGATTCAGGCTTTCATTCATCTACAAATACCTCTGGTCACTCATGATGATTTTTCGGCTTAGTGGCGTTTAACGGGTGCGTATGATAGAGCATGGGTTGATTTTGATACTTACTAGATTCAAATATATTCATCCCGTTTCTGACCGAGTTGCGAGTTTGCCCAGTCATTAAGGATCATTATAAGCAAACTCATGCGTTTCTCTATCTCCTTATGGGCGTTGATACCAAAAGCAACCTTTGACCGAAGAGATGGTTGTGGGGCAGCATATGCTTCAATTTCCACTCGAGTTTGTAAACAGGGATGCGTAACTGGTAGTCCGGGGTATATAGTGGAATCTCTACTCCACAAGTGTCACAGTATATTTCGAAAACTTTCCTCAATTTCTACGTTGTTACCCAAATTGCCATTTGTTCGGTCAAGCCAGTAGGCTCCTGATTACGAGACCCTTGCTAGCATGGTATGTCGCTTGCAAATCCTTAAAATTCACTGGGGCAGTGTGTACCTTGATATCGAGTTAAAGGACGTGCTTCCAGAGATATTAGGAGCATAATCACCACCTATTCGATCCGTGGGAGTTTTCAGTGGACATTATCCTATGCTCCAGCAATCAAGGATGGAATCATGCCAGGGCAACCCCTGGATATGGCCAATTAGGGCTTCCTGGGCACGTGAACCTGAAAGCTTTTCCCCGCCAAATTCAATGCTTCAATCCCGCGATTTTCAACCGCTCGATAGCACTAACCGCTGTTCTTCCGCCGCGCCATTTTCAGCTGTTATCGGCATATACCAATATATTAGCCTCTCACGCCACCCGTGGGGAGCTTCCCGTGTATACTAGGCGGTTCGCACAAAAATAAACACAATGGCGGCTCTCCGAGAAACATACAACGGTATGTAGGGCCCCTCAATCTGTGAGAGTTAAATGGTAGATCTGTATAAACTGATACTGACAATGCAGCTTCAATATACCCGATCCAGTCCATATTGCCGTCATCGGCGGTACTGGGCTTAGAGAATTACCCGATTTCACACAAGTTGCATCTCTCAACATCACCACGCCATGGGGACCACCGTCTTCTCCGATAACAATCCTCCATCACACCTGTTCGACAACTGGCAAGGTAGTCCCTGTCGCATTCCTGAGTCGGCACGGTCTGCATCATGAGTACGCACCGCACGAAGTACCAGCGCGCGCAAACATTGCTGCCCTCCGATCAATCGGGGTACGAAGTATTGTCGCTTTTTCTGCCGTTGGGAGTTTGCAGGAGGCCATTAAACCGCGAGACTTTGTCGTACCAGACCAAGTTATTGACCTGACGAAGGGAGTGCGGCCGTGGACGTTTTTCGAGGGCGGCGCAGTGGCACATGTTGGTTTTGCGGACCCGTTCGATGAGCAGATGGCGAAGGTGGTGCGGGCATGTGGGCATAGCTTGGAAGGGGATGGCGTTGTGCTTCATGACCGCGGCACACTCATATGCATGGGTACGGCCTTATTGCACTCCTCCATTATTTACAAGCTTGTATTTCGAAAGGAGGTCAAAAGCTAACTGTTCGACAACAGAAGGTCCACAATTCAGCACACGTGCAGAAAGCAAGCTCTACCGCTCCTGGGGCGGCAGCATAATCAACATGTCGTGCATTCCCGAAGCAAAACTTGCTCGGGAAGCTGAGATTGCTTATCAGATGATTTGCATGTCCACAGATTATGACTGCTGGCACTCGGAGGCGGCAGATGTAACTGTCGATATGGTCATGGCCAATATGAAAATGAACTCGGTGAATGCGAAAAACTTCATTGGAGCGGTGCTCGATGAACTTAAAAAGGATGAACATGCAGCTCTCGTGCAAGCAAAGCATTTGGAAGGCACATGTAAATTTGGGCTGAGTACTACTCCAGGATACCTGAGCGCTGAAGCCCTCACAAAGCTCTCCTGGCTCTTCCCGGGATATTTTAACAATAATTAGAATATATTAAGGATAAATTAGCGGTCAAGTGTGGGATTTTATGGGTATTTTGCGTTTTGGCACTTGACATTCCGGGCTCTTCTTCACTTTTCTTTTAAATAACTACACTAGACATTGCTAGATAATACTGTATGGATTTTATTGCCAACGACACCTCCCATAGCCAATGGTATCTTTGAAGAGATATTTGATATATTGAAATGTTGGAATATCTTGTCAGATCTTCCCTCTAAAAAGCTCTTTATATTCGGGTGATCTGAAATGAATTCGACTGTATGACGAAGCTCAGATTCCTGCACCGGAAGAGCCTGAGTTGCGTCACACTCCCTCCTGGTTAGCTTCTGGGCTGAGATCCTGAGAGGCCCTGGATTTACGGTTAATGCTGGGGGACAGGAGGAGACTACCTTTCCCAGTTGCAGGCAATGTGCAAGCGATCCTGCCAACGATTCCTTCCAATGTGTCTATGGGTGCTTAAAATACTTCACCTCCTCCATGCGCTTGCTTCTTAAAAAAGCATGAATAACCTGAAGTGCTCGCCGCGGTGCTCCCCGCACCGTCAGCACCGAGCTAACATCCAAAATGCAAACCTGCAACAAAGGCTCCTTGTTAACCGGACGAATAAACTGGCAGTTTTGGCTTCCAGCACTCGTTGCCAACACAACCTTGACATTGAGCCCTGGCCAAATTGAGTTGTGGATTAATACCTTCCGGCAAAGAATAACGACATTCAACCGGTAGTGAGAACAAAGGAGCTCCAGGGACAAATAGTTATGCGTAAAGTTGGCCGTCGCGTGATGAGCTTTTTGTGTTGCACCGTAATCATAATCCACCTAACAACCACTGGATAGTGCAGAAGAAGAGGGTGATAGGATAGATAGAAATCATGGAAACAAAATAGGGCCAAAGCCTGCATTGAAGCATTGAAGCATTTGTTATTGGGACACATTACCAGCTCCTGTCGAGCACCTCTGGTTGGCCCCTGTACAGTACATATAGAGTTCACGTGCGGAGTAGATGTTGGGATGATTCGGCTTATGGTAAGGACTAACTAATAAATACGTAGTTACGGCCAAAATTGCTAGTATTGATTATTTAGTTATATCATTACGCTTTTGTAATTTATCACTTTAAATATCTTCTCTATAAATTATTAGATTATTTAAATCAAATGCTCTATGAATTCTCGTATAATCTCTACGCTTTAGAAACTTTGATCAGTGATGTTAAAAGCTTGTAAATAATGAAAAAAAAAAAAAAAAAAAAAAAAAAAAAAACTAGAGATGAACTATTAGATAAATCAGTTCTATTCAGCCGCCATCCATTGAACTAGATAATACATTATCGAATAGAGACGCTGAATGAAGGATGGTTTAACTAATGAAAATGAAGTGGAATTCTTCTCTAAGTGTTTTAGACCTCTTACATTACATAGAACCTCGAGTTGTTTTGCACGCAATGTGATGTAGAATTTCGTTAATCATGGCTATGTGTAATTAGAAAAATGCTTTTTTTTTCTACTCCGTATTTGCAATAGTTAACTTACAGTCTGCAGATATTCTCACGTGGTTGTGTGACACACCGAAAAAGTGATAAATTTCCATGCAATCACTATCATTCCTTCACTCACTATATACCATAGGAGAAATATGAGGTGACTTAATGAGCGTACCATTGAGTGAGTGATGCTGGTAGCCAAGCAGGATGCAAGAAATTAGATTCGGGATACGGTGAAGATAGAGACTTGCAGGAGCCGAATCCAATTTTCTGCTGAGTTGCAGCACTATCTTTTCTAACGCTCATTGAGAATTTGGGATAGGCAGGATTTGCATTGACTATGCATTACCACTTGTTTGTTGAAGTCCAAGAAGCCGAAAGCGAGAGGAGCCTCAAATTTTCCTCAGCACCTCTCCTTATATTTCGCGCTGGGACTTGGAATGCACTCCAGCTCCCACGAACAAACATGGGACATGAGCTTATGTCCGACATAACGAGATAGGTGGGTAAGAGTGATGACATTCCAGCAACTCTCCTTCACCAGAAAGGCTATTAATGGTGGTCACAAGCAGAGGTTCCAGTGCAGACCTACATCATGAAATGGATCATCAGCCCTTCATCTCCATGCACCAACCAACCGCTCCCCACTCACCCGCCCCTGGCACAGCTCCCTACCTGTTTTTGGAGTGTAAGAAATACCCTGCGATGGTGGCTACTTGACTGAACTGGAGGGCTGCAAAATTGCTGTGGAATAATAATTGAGCCTTCTTAGAGTCAATTAGTGCTTCCAGACTTGGAGGCACGAGTAACCAGAAGTTCTCACATTTCCTCTTCTGTCTTTCTTTCATTTTCATTTAGTTCTTTCATCCTCTCCATATTTTCTACCTCCTTCTTCGTTGAAAATGCCATTCGTTAAATATCTTTTGATTGGTGTGATTCGTGCTCTGAGTTGCCTCCCCCTCATCGAACCTGATCTCAGCAAATCGCCGTCGCTCGAAAGCAGGCTAGATGGCCCCGAAGACTGGACATCTCCCCCATACTACCCAGCACCTGTGGGTGGTTGGGTCCCTGAATGGAAGGAGGCATATGCCAAATCTCATGCAGTAGTTTCCAATATGACTCTTGCTGAGAAAGTGAATCTAACAACAGGTACTGGATATTCCATGGGGCCCTGCGTGGGACAGACCGGAAGCGCACCCCGATTCGGAATCCCCAGGCTTTGTCTGCAAGACGGGCCTCTTGGCGTCCGAAATACAGACCACATTACAGCTTTCCCAGCTGGAATCACTGTGGGAGCCACATTCGACAAGCAATTGATGTACGATCGCGGTGTTGCCTTGGGCAAGGAGTTTCGTGGTAAAGGGATAAATGTCCATCTTGGCCCATCTGTAGGCCCATTGGGACGCAAGCCACGTGGAGGACGAAACTGGGAAGGCTTCGGCGTGGATCCATCCCTCCAGGGAATTGCCAGTGCCTTGACAATTAAAGGCGTTCAAAGCAGGGGCGTCATCGCCACTGTGAAGCATCTTGTCGGAAACGAGCAGGAGATGTTTCGTATGGCGTTCCCCGTCCATCCCATTGACTCCCTCCAGAAACCATACTCAGCCAACATCGATGACCGGTCCATGCACGAGCTCTACCTGTGGCCCTTTGCCGAGTCTGTCAAAGCAGGGGTTGGTGCCGTAATGATGGCATATAATGACGTATGATGGCTTCCTCTTCAAAAGAACGTGAAAGCCCAAGCTTGGTCGTTTATGTTAACGTTTTCCGTAGGTTAACAGCTCCTCATGTAGTCAAAACAGCCAGTTGATCAACGGCATTCTCAAGGAGGAGTTGGGGTTCCAAGGGTTTACCATGACTGACTGGTTCGCCCAGATTGGTGGTGTTTCATCCGCGCTTGCTGGTCTGGATATGGCTATGCCAGGAGATGGTGTTGCTCCATTATCAGGGAACAGCTATTGGGCAGGCGAATTGTCACGCTCAGTCCTGAATGGTACTGTCCCCATTGAGCGGTTAAATGATATGGTATGCGGTGCCCTTCCCCCCATTTGCTAATGTATAGGCGGAAAATGGTAACCTTGGGCTTGGAAATTGACTTCAGCAACTAGGTTGCACGAATTGTTGCTACATGGTTCAAATTAGGGCAGGACAAGGACTTCCCATTGCCAAACTTCTCAACCCATACAGCCGCTGAAAGTGGTCTTCTGTATCCGGGAGCTGTACTTTCTCCAATCGGCATAGTCAACCAATTCGTTGATGTTCAAGAAAACCACAATATCATCGCCCGGGCGGTTGCTAGGGATGGTATTACTCTTCTGAAAAACGAAAATAACGTTCTGCCCCTGAATCCGGACGCTTCGATAAGGGTATTTGGTGCCGACGCGGGACTTGATCCACTGGGGCTCAATCCCTGCCCAGATAGAGGCTGCAATAGAGGGGTCTTGACGATGGGGTGGGGGAGCGGAAGTGCCAGAGTTCCATATCTTGTAACCCCTCAAGAAGGCATCCGGGCAAGAGCGCCCAATACGAAGTTCCACATCACTAATAATTTCCCCCTCATTCCAGATGTCAAACTTGATGATATTGCAATCGTTTTTATCAATTCGGATTCCGGTGAGAACTATATAACCGTTGAAGGAAATCCAGGAGACAGAACGCTCGCTGGTCTATATGCTTGGCATGGAGGTGACAAGCTTGTCATGGATGCGGCGACGAAATTTTCAACTGTAGTTGTTGTCGTTCACACCGTCGGCCCGATTATCATGGAGAAATGGATCGATCTCCCGTCGGTGAAGGCAGTGTTGTTTGCCCATCTCCCCGGCCAGGAAGCGGGCACTATTGCCGATATTCTTTTTGGAGACTATAGCCCCAGTGGCCATCTGCCGTATACCATCCCGAAATTTGAAGCCGACTATCCAGACAGCGTCCATCTCATTTACGACCCCGTAATCCAGATCCAGGATACTTTTAACGAAGGGTTATATATTGACTATCGCCACTTCATCAAAAATAATATCACCACGCGATATCCGTTCGGTCACGGGCTATCATACACAACATTCAAATTCAGCGAGCCCAAAATCATAACTGTGACGCCGTTGACCGAATACCCCCCGGACAGACCTGCAAAAATTTCCACCCCAACATTCTCGAGCAAAATTCCTTCTGCAACAGAAGTATCGTGGCCAAAGGGCCTGAAACGTATCTGGCGCTACTTGTATCCATACCTCGATAACCCCTCATCCATCAAGTCAGGAAAGGATTACCCATATCCGGAAGGCTATAGCACAACGCCAAAACCACCTCCACGGGCTGGTGGAAGGGAGGGCGGCAACCCAACCCTGTGGGATATCGCATACAACGTCGATGTTAAAGTCACCAACACAGGAAAGGTAGCCGGCCGCTCCGTCGCCCAGCTGTATGTCCAACCAACCCTGGAGCGAGAGGCAGATACCCCCAGGCTTCAGCTGAGACAATTTGAGAAAACTCGTGTGCTGCAGCCTGGCGAGAGCGAGGTTCTGCGTCTTGAGGTTACGCGGAAGGATTTAAGTGTTTGGGATGTTGCAATGCAGGATTGGCAGATACCGCAGCTGGCTAAGGGTGCGAAGTTGTGGGTTGGTGAGAGCGTGGAGCTTCTGAAAGTGTTGTGTGAGGTTGGAACAGGTGAGTGCAGGGATGCTTGAATCTTTGAGACGAAGGAACTTGGGACCGAATCAGGGATTGACCATGACCCGCAAACTTTCGGCGCGTGCTTGTTGCCAAAAAAAATACTCGACGAATATTTTCTGCTTCAACCCTTCGGTTAGGTGTGCTCTTCACGAATACTGCTGTCAGGTCAAGCCCATATAAATTTAGCAGCGGAGGCAACTGGCGAGCTGAGGTGCCAATGCATCACCGTCTTCTCTCCGCTGCCTCCGGGGTGTAACAAGAAGCTCGTAACAAGCAAAAACAATCTCCAGCAGTGCCAGGTGGTCAAGTTGAAACTAGGTCAAGTTGAAACTAGTAACTAGAGGACAAGATGAGAAATAAGCTCTGATGAACGACTCGCTATCTAATGAAAATCAATTAATATCTCAACAACAAATGAGAAAAATTGCAGTAAACATAAAAAATTACCTGTGAATATGGAACTTTTGCCTTTTGTAGCCGGTACCTACCCTCCTCCCGCTCGCTTTCTGCAAGACAGGGTTTTCCCATTGTACCAGAAGGATTAATCCTCAAGGCGGAGATATTATTTTGTGCATACTTTGGCCATCCAACATTTTTCTGTGTTCAAGTTCTCGTTTCTCCTTCAGAGCTGTTGGTTGAAAACTTCTCCTCCGCTCCTAAGGAGTTGCCTGCTTTCATTGACCCTGAACACGCCAGCAAAGACAGGCCGTCTATCCCGTGATATAGCTCATAGTATAAGATAGTCCATAGTTCATAACGATTAGAGGAATATTGCGGCAACATGGTTCAGTTATGAAGCTCCGTATCTTAGGGTTAGGGTTAACCTTAACCCTAACTAGTTAGTAAATGATAGAACTCATATTTTTCACGTGATATAAATTCGCCGCCTGACAGTCTGAGTACGGAGTACTCCCTGTTTGATGTCCAACCCTCATGTTTATATTTTGCCTGTGAACTCAGCTGTTTCTTTATCACTAGCATCGGCCACGAAAAGAGAGAGTAGATATTTCGGTCTGCTTAAGATCAGCACCTCCAGGATGCAGGGCTTCAGTAAGCACTTTATTTCCTTTCGCATTCCGTTCCGGACAATCTTCGATCTAGTTCCTAACTCAGTTATCTAGATATGGGACGGTTCGTTCACTTTACTCCTATCCAGGGCATCAACCACATCTGTCTCTGGGCTAATACATATCCAGCTATGTCCCCCCGGACCAAGAAGGTCTCACAACTGGCAACAAGCTTGCCAACAAGCACCCCCTAGGCGCCCGCGCCCGACACTTGCATACCACTGGCGAACTTACAGTCCGTTTCGAAATGCCCTTTGCCGTCTGGTGTTCCACATGCAAGCCCGCCGATAGCGTTCTAATCGGGCAGGGCGTGCGTTTCAACGCACTGAAAAAGCGCGTGGGGAACTACTACTCAACGCCAATCTACAGCTTCCGCATGAAGCATACGGTTTGCGGTGGCTGGATAGAGATCCGCACTGACCCGAAAAACACCGCGTATGTAGTCACAGAGGGTGGGCGAAGGAAGGATACGGGCGAGTTGGACAAAGGTGGCTACGAGGAGGACGGAGAAATTACGTTACGGATACCCCATGATGTTGGCTCGGGTAACTCTACGGAGAAGGATGCGTTTTCGAAACTCGAGGGGAAAGTGGCGGATCAGAAACGGGTTATGACGGAGAAGGCGCGCATGGAGGAATTGATGAAACGGCAGGAGCGTGATTGGGAGGATCCATATGAACAGTCACGTAGACTGCGGAGGGTGTTTCGGGCAGAAAGGAAACGGAGGGAGGCTGCGCAAGGAGTTACAAAGGCGCTGCAGGATAGGATGAGTTTGGGGATTGAGTTGTTGGAGGAGTCTGAGGGGGATCGGTTGAGGGCAAAAATGGTGGATTTTGCCCCTGCAGGCGATAATGCCGTGGGTGGAGCGATTGTTCGCCATGCGATTTCGAAGCCACTATTTGAGACCAAGTCGCTTCCGCTCACCCCTCCGGATAGAGGACGGGCAAAAAAGGAAAAGCGGCCAAAGAAACCAGACGCTATTGTAGCAGAGCGGAAGTCGCTGTTACAGAAAGAGTTAAGTGGAAATACGAAGGCGGCTATTGACCCTTTTTTGCTGGATGACAATTCAGATTGGACCCCTGGGGTTAAGCGGCGGAAGATGCTCGAATCTACCGCTGGGGTGTCCTCCGGGAATAGACCGCAACAAGAACAGAAACACGACGGCTCCGATGATAAGGATTATCATACTAGCAATATTCCGAACATAGTAAATGTAATTAGGCCACCGCAGTTAACGGCTACGGGTGCAGATGAAGAAGCCTCCAACCCCCGACGAGTAGCATCGGCCACACCCCTGGTAGGATATGAGTGGTCAGATGATTCCGAATAACTAGAATATGCTCGATCCCTTTCTTTTCTCATACTTTGGTATATGTATTTTCTTATTGTTTATTTTCCTTCAACTCATGAGATACCCCCAGTATTTTTGACTTTGGCAAATGTATATTTAGATCAACGAATCATGAATTTCATACTTATCAAGTTAGGAAACGCCTTGGATTATTACCAATCTACTTCACATCGTTATCGTACATGAAACCATTCGTCAGTCATTTACTCATAACTAAGCTCGTCAATACTCCACAGAATATAATAAAAGCGAATCTCGTCGTACGACTCCGCAGACTTCTCGCAAGGACATGACATACGGTCGCCAGAATTTAACCTGCAGTACAGCTCATTATTGACCAGCAGCAGGTTCTTTTGCCCAAGGAGCCCTTGTTGGAATGTTTGGGCCTGGCCCTCCTCCTGTTCCCGCCCAAGGAGCTCTAGTTGGTAGGTTTGGATCAGGTGATGAGAATTTTCCAGCAGTGTCTCCATCTCGATTGCTGCTCCACGGCGCTGCGGTTGTAGCTGTTGGGGGGACACGCGGGGGTCTAGCTCTAGGCTGCACCGGGGCGGAGGGTGCGGACATGCCAGGGATAGAAGTGACGCCCGTGTCAGCTGCGGGCTTCGCCCAAGGAGCCTTTGTTCCATGGAGTTCTTCAACTGTGGGCTTAACGGAACCTGGAGAGGTCGTTTCGCCCGATCTTTCTGGTCTGCTGGAGAGATGAACGGACGGAGCAACTGCCACAGCCGTGGGGTCATGTTCCCAGCGAAAAAGGGAACCGAAGGGGAAATGTTGGACGACGGGGAATTTGGAAAGGACCTCAGCATTATACATTTTGATCATGCCCTAATCCCCAGTCAGCAGCGTTGGATTGATATGTTATTGCTGAAAGAACGAAGATATAGTGGAGATGTCATACCTTGTTTATTTTTCCCCAGCCATCTCTAATCCCTGAAATGTCGTAAAGCATAGGACTGTGCTCCCAAAATGGACCCCTTTTAACATCGTATATAAATCCAATAGCTGAGAAATACATATTATTCCTACGCTCCTTCTCCACGATATTCGCTTTTGCAACGGTAGCTGGTTCCGGCGCGGTCTGCAATGAGCCCTCAGTAGGAGTATGATCTGACTCTGATATTGGAGGACAGAATTGTGCAGATCCAAGGATATAAGGCAGAAAAGAATGGTCATCAAGACCCCAGACACCATGTGATCCAGCAGGTTCGAGGGTATATGTCATTATGAGGCGCCGAATCAACTCAAAATAACTGAACGGCCAGTCGTAGTCAGTTTAATTTGCCGAGAAGTAATTTAGAAAACGCATTCGTTTGTACCGGAGAGTGACATACGGTTCAATGACACCTAAAACAATCCCCCTCTCCTCCACTCCAGCCCCAGCCTTCGGGAACCCGTTGAGCTTCCATAGACAACCCAAAAAGGCCACAAAGCTCAGCTCGTGCCCTGTTCCGTAATCTAGCCTCTGTTGGCTCCCAAAGCTCCCCATGAAATAAGCTATAAGCTCCTCCTTCGCAGATAACGAATCGAGGCCCTGGGCCCCTTGCTGCAGAACTTCAGGCTGTAAACATTCATCCATCAGCTCCGGCGCTCGCCGTTCCACTTCCTCGCACCATCTACGAAAGCTAACATTTCCAAAACGTCTCGGACCTGTGTCCGGAGGTACTTCATCGATTATCGAATCTATCTTCGAAAGTAATGACTGCAGACGCCGGACGGGCTCTGAGAACTCAACCGCATCGCAGTTGAGGGGCCAGGTTTGCACACGTTGGGAACCATCTTTCTCCGTGATTTTCGAAGGGACCATGGCGCGGTTAAGTTGTAGGATGAAAGTCACGATATCCCTATAGCCAAGGGAGGTAAGGAATATGGAGACATCGCTACCCTCATTTATCTTCTTGGAGGGAAGCTCGAAGGTATGTGGCTGTGAGGGGTCGAGGTGTTGGAGGTAAGGGGTGGAGAATGATGCCTCAGCGGCCATCGCAAGAGCATTGGCTACACGCACGGTTCTCTGTTCCCTTATTTTCCAGGTCGTTGGCGTCCCGGAGTAAGGTAATTAATTGAAGTATAGGAGTGGTGTATTTCGATGCACTGTTGAAGGAGAATTATTGTGAAGGGAGTTCCAAGCCTTGGTGGGGGTTAGTTAACTACGTTAGCTTCTAGTTGACCCTTAGTCAACATGTTCCAGTAACTAGTTATGAGAGAATTATCTTCCTTAGAATTCTTATATCGCCTCACAATATAAAAGTACTATATCTATCGATATAATAAAGCCGAATAGTTATACGTATCTAAAAATAAATATATATAAAAATTTATTACCCCTCACATTTGTGACCTTCCCATTAAGACATTCTATCTACGTATTAATATCCCACGTGCACAAGGGTTGTTCTATGGATGTCAACTATTTTTCTCAGGCCAGTATGTAACTTCCATCAGCAATAAAGGGAGATTGTTGTCGGGCTTAGGTCTTAGGAAGGAGACAATGGTAGTGGTTGTGTGACATTCCTTGAGCATCTGGTAGAAGCAACTAGCTGCTATTTTCTTCAAGGTCCGATTCTAGGGTCTTCGAAAACCCTAGAAGCCTCCATCCAGCTCCCGAGAGTGCAATTATTGGACAAAAAAAGAAGGCATCATGTGCAATAAAGGGCAAGGTGTTAGAAAGGCACAGAAAGATACAGAGGGAACCAGGGAAGAATACAAAATGAAAGTAAGAGAATGCTTATATTTGTTAGTTGACTGGAATACCAACCCCCTAACATGAGGTGGGGGACATGACTTCCAGCCCATTGCAATACTAATTGCAAAGGATACGAGAAGCCGTGAGTATACATTATTCCCAACCAGCATGCAGCGGATTTCGCACCTGCCTGTTAACTTCGCCCAGTTAAGGAGGTATCCACCTCAAATAGTAGATAGCGAAGTGAAGAAATGATAATAGTGGCGTGTCATGTATCAGAGTCGTACCCGGTTTCTGAACTTTCTTCTGAACTTGAAGATTATCTTGATTTTCATACGCGCACAAACCAGCTTCATCCGCCGGCAGACGGGCCAAGTGTGCACAAGAAGTCGCAAAACTGTGTTGCGTCTTCGCTGCCTTCTTCAGCTCCTTGGCCATGTCTTTCGCGGAAACGCTTGCGCTTGATCTACAGTCAGGATCTCTAGTAATCTCGTCGTAGGGACTACGAAGCTCTCCGCTGCGGATCTCCGGCGCTTGCGACTCCGGGCTAGTTGTAGAGAACCAGTTCCAGATTTTCGTTTAGCATCGTGGGTCACCACATTTACAATTCTAGTTACAGTACTCCGTAGTAATCTGTGTTTCTACTCACAGACTAATTAGCTCGTTCCCCCCTTTCTAATGCCGAAAACTGTTATAGAACCCAAATCACTTGCGTCAAAAACTGCAGCGTGCGCCAGTGCCATAATAGTGACAATTCACGCAGGCACCATTGAGGTATCCTTGAAGAATGGCGCAATGGGGAAACGGTACGCGCCCGCTCATACAAAACTCGCACTCAGGTCGGGCGACCTCGCCGCGACACTGCACAAGGCCAGCCTCGATAGCGGTCTTTCGCTCAGCGTTTAGACGTCAGTCGATGCGAGTTTAAGCCAATCAAACAACCGGCTCCTGGATAAGCTGTTTCATTACAGCTGATGGGTCTGGCCCCATTAATAGCCGGTTAACCGCATCCACATAGGATTAGCATTTCTCCAATCGAACTTCCTGTAGGGTTGGGAGCTGACTAGTGGTGATGGCATTGAAACTGTCAGTGGCAAGTGGCAAGCTATGCGTGCTTTTCAATGTCGACTGCGCTAGATGCGTGTGCTCGGGAATCGAACTGAATGGGCTAGCAACCGGAATGCTGGACAATGTTGCAGCTGGCCCTTCCAACATTTCAAATGGTGCATTGTTTGCCTTCTTAAGACAGCTTCAATCCACTGTCTACCATTTCATGTAGTGATACAATTATGTGGAAACACAGGTGTTCATATTCTTCTAGAATATCGCGTTTCAATGCGATTCAGTTAGCGAATATAGACATTAAAAAACGTAGATGCGAAGGAGCTCAGTGCTGAGAAGGGCGCTAGTCCATAATAGGTAGCCTAGGGCTAACACCAAAGTGCAACCCCCGCTCACGTGCGCCTGACAGGCCCGAGGGCTCCTCCCCCAGATTTCCCCCGATGGGAAAAAGTTAACAGGAAATCCCGGCCTTTTGCTCGTCGCTTAAATAATGTCTCACAGCGATGAAGGCCCGGGACCCCAGCTCTCAGTGGAGCTTTTAAAGTCAATATGGACTACCCAACAAGCCTCTGATTCTGACTTCTCCTCCCATGGTGATGACATCCCCACAAATTTCGATGGCGGCAAACGCAAGCGACAGGACACTGAGTCGTTGCAAGAGTCGCCATCTTCGCCGTTGGGGAGCGATGATAAAGCGGTTATCCCGTTCGAGTCTGTCAATTTGAAACGATTACAACTAGCTAAACGAGTGGCTAGCGAAGCAGTCCGCGACAGTCGGGGTCGAAAGGATATCTATCTTATTCCAAACACACCGAAAGCCCCGCAACGTTTCACGCGAAATCCAAGGCAGAATGCTCTACCGAAAGTCTGGAGTAATGATGATTCAGATAACGAGCTGAGCGAACAGGACAATTTAAGGGGAAAGAATGGGTATTATCGCGCGAGGCCCAATTTCACCCTGCAAGTTAGTAGCGATGAGCAAGTTTTAGCTGGCGGGGAGAGTTATGATGCCTGGTCTGAAAAGGAATCTGAAGATGAATCTGAAGACGAAGAGAAACGGGATGCGGATAACGAAAGCCTACGAGCACATGAAAAGCATGCTGAGAACAAGGAACGCGAACAACCCAAATATGCAGAATCTACCTCAAATCCCAACACTCTGCGGCGTTCATCCAGATTAATGGCGAAAGCTGCGTCTTTGCCCCGGTCATCGAGGCTATCCGGCCCTCGAAGACCAAATCATGCGTTTACATCACCTATTTCTCCTGGGAGAAGGAGAATCTTGACGAGACTAGCGAAGCAAAAATTAAAGGGCGTGGAGGTACCGGCGTCTTCCCCTATATCTCTTTTGCGTCGGGCCCGATATTCAGAGTCAGAAATTGGGAATAGCCGTGATGCCTCTCCAACTGATAAAGATTCAGGGGATGGGAATTCCCAACAAGCCGAAAAACGTACTATTATACCCTCACCCAAAAACCCTGAGAATGGGGTAGAGGAAGAAGCAGACCTCGGTAGCCAGAACGAGAATCAAACCTCTACCAACAATTCATCTGATCATCGCATTCAAATTAGACCCGGAAGCGAAATCAATGAGCCAAATCTCGAGTTACAGAGCGAGCACGACAGCAAACATGGGAGCGTCATTGACGCCTCTGAATTGGAAAATGGATCTCAGTTTGAAGATGAATCTAGAGAAATAGATTTCAAAAATACCCCTCATCAAGATTCCGATCCTGCAAACTTTTGGCCTGCCGCCACTCTTTTCGGCCAACATACCAACTGGTCCGAGCTTCTAGCAGAAACCAAAAAGCTCATACCGGGACTGCTCATCACACAAAAGAATCCTCTTTTGCGTAAACTACTAACAGCCATAACACAAACCAAAGAGCTCTATGCCGAAACTAGGGAAATTAGATTAGCCTACCAAAAGGTTCCGGATCACCTGTACGAAGCAGAAAAATGTAGTTCCCAGAAAGTTGCCGAGCACGTGTCTCTCATTTTATCCAAAGTCCGTCTTGTTTTTGATGAAAACGGTGATCTTGTCACCAATAGCCGTGACTTGGAGAGAAAACGACAAGTCGTTCATGAAATTGTTTCTTTTGGTGTACCTGAACTGGTAGACGTATTGAAATCATGTATCACCGCGCACTATGTCGACCACGAACTTTCTGTTGATGGAATTAAACAGTTGACACAGCTGTTACAGTCACTTTCCCTGCTGTGCGAAAAGATCCAGCCCAAGTTTTTCCGCCCCTACATCAATTTCGGAGACGCGCTCCAGCGCATCAGGGTTGTGACTCGCTTCCTATGGGCAGTTTTCGACAACGAATCAAGCGAGTTACAAGCCAAGCGGCGCTTAGCAAGATTTAACAACATTCAGCAGCAGAGAAGGACCAGACTCAATCGAGATACGCCAAACAGAAAAGGTCATCGACAGGAAATAACCTCCACGACGTCAAACGAAGAGCCCCGGGAACATATTTCTGTTTTATCAATTGATGAAGAGTGGTCGAACGAGGAGTTATCTGAAAGTCCAGACGAGCCTCCCTGGACGACGGCAGAGAGCGAAGCTCTTGTAACTGGTTTAGAAAGATATCAAGGTGACGTGCTATTATTTCGAGATATCAGATCACACAAAGTCACCTACAGCATACTAACCAATATCCACAACAGGCCTCAATAGGTTTACAATGATACTTCGCGACTTCAAAGCAGAGCTGCGTGGTCGAACTATGGAGGACCTGCGCTTAAAGGCGCGAGAGATTCGAGATTCATACGTTGCTGCAATGAAGCTTGATAGCCATATGCTGGACCCTCGACGGTGGGGTTGGCTCTTGGAAATTTAACGCAGCTGGTATTTTTTATCATTTCGGTGCTATGTTGCGAAGACATTTTTCTTTCCATAGCATGTCTGTAATGGGTTTTTTCACGTGTCCATAGCTTCTACCCTTTCGAACTGATGTATGTTGGGTACAAAGGACTCACTGCGACGTATTATTATATTGTGCTGCAATTTAGAGTAGATATATATATCCATATATATATTTACCACGGGCCACGGCTTATAGCACAATCACAGCATTATCACATGGATCAATCAAAACCAAATGAAGCGCTCTAACGAGAGTTGGCTACGCTCACAACAAGCTCGCTTCCATCATATAACTTGTTATCTTCTATGCGTTGTCTCAGCCGCTCAACTAGCAGCGTAGCCAAAGCCACAATCCAGCATCTCCCTCGTTTTTCTCTCGCGCACCTTCCACTATTGCGTGCCCAGATTTCAAATCACTTTAATGCAACCCTCAGGAATGTTCCAGTGTTCATTTACGTCAGTGCTCGAACGCTACGTATGCTTGAAGTATGTGTTGTAGTGCGAGCTACCTCTGATTCCCCACAGACATGGGATCATGGCCAGTTCGCAAATGCCAAATATCGGGAACTTCTTTGTGTTTACTGCTCTCCTCTATGGTTCAGATGCTCCGGTGGGCAGTGGTTTGAGGCGCGATATACATCTTGAATTGGCTGGATGGAAAAAAATATGGTAACTCCCAGTGAACTGCTCGAGGTGGGACGTAGTAAGAGGAGTCGGTTGATGACAAAAAGGGTGTGTGCCAGCGGAAGCACTTTGCTGTAGTTATCAAAGAAAAAACGTATGAGGAGAGGAGTGTGAAGCCAACAAACGACAACCTCCCAGCCATTGAGCTATAGAAAAATATCTCCGGCACTCTTTATAGAATGAATGTTTCGAAGCTGAATCAGTTTGTTTGCGAGTCAATACTGAGAGGCTGTTTACTATCAAATATTCATTAAAACGCTCATTTCTATTCTAGAAGTCCAGGGTCTACTCCCTAAAATCCACCATGGCTCACGGACCCAATATCCCTTTGATGAGCTTGGAACTTGGATTGCGACCCAGTCCTGACGGGGCCGGGATTTCTCTGTGCGGACATTAGTATAAGGGATGATGACAAGCTCATTAAAGGTGATCATGAGCTCATCGAGGCATCACAAAAGCAGGGCAGAAATGGGACAAAACTTGTGGAGCATCATAGAGCAGAAAGCATGGAAATCCACATAAATTTGTGGCTGCGGTGACGAACGGAGATACGGAAGACTTTGTGAGTGTGGAGGAGGGTGGAAGCTATGGCCCTATGGGTGTGTAAATATACCTTCATACTTGGGGGCTTGGTTGTTGATGGTAAATATAGTTTACTATACTTCGAACTACCAAAATACATTATCAGGCCAGGTGGGATTTCATCTGCCGAAATCCTGTTTACCAATTACAGCTTTGGGCGGCCGAGCTGAACAGAGCCCCGGCTCAAACCAGCCCCTATCTCAGGTCCTGGATAGCATTGCCGGCGCGCTTGTCGGCAGGCCCGGCTACTGTTAGCCGGGTCGCTTCATCTCAGAACAACTCCCTCAACAGACTATGATATCCTAACCCTTTAACATGTCCTGAGCTTGCCATATTTAACTAGGTGACAGACATTTTTAACAGAAGGCTGAAAGGTGTAGGTGAAAAACTTCATCTCACAACCGCCTAGCCAAGATCCCGGATGAAACATAAAACCGCTTGAATCCAAGGCATCTAAGATGTTCAACCTACATAGTATGTGATCTTACTTATGGGGTAGCGGGGCGGGCTGGTGACAATGGGGGGTGGAGTCACAGAGCCAAGATTAGCGGTGTAACTAGGCGCTTAGAATCAATGCGACAACCTCTCGAAATGAGATGTTACAATATGCCATGCTTTCACTACTCGTCTGCGGCGTGGTAAACGGGGTATCGTAATTGTAGGATTATCGAATATTTGAGAATATATGAGCACACATGCATGAAGGTTGAGTATATCGCAATGGTGAAGCTTCCGCCGCAAACAGCCCTGATCAGCGGACGGGAGATTTTATTTAACCAGCAGCAGGAACAAAAGCAGCCACACAGAGGTGACAAGGCACGAAAATAGCAGATATGATTCCACTGGCGTCATGAACAAGAGTGACATTCCACACATGTCCCTCTCGATCGCATTCTTAACATTCCTCCCTGTCCACCGCCAACGACATGCCAAATCCATGCCCAACGCCTCATCCAACCGCCCAACAACGTGACGGCCACTAATCCATCGTGAACGAATTCTCTGTCTCATAAAAATCACTAATGCAGCCATTTCAGGCATTGCTCATCTCATGCCTGCTCAAACCTCAGACTCTTGCCGCCCCCGCCCTGCCCCATCTCCGCGAAGATCTGGGGCCGTCTGTTGGTGCCACGATCGTCCGTTTTGTTTGATGGAGTTACATACATGCACATCCATACTTCCATACGTACATCTGTACATATAGTTGCTTCTGCGTTGGCCACCGTTGTTGGTTAACAAGCACTAGGGCCAAGTGGGGTGTTGGGTTTGGTTCCGTCATTCGCCATCTTGCCCGTCCTAGTCGGTGTCTTGGGATGGATGAGATGAGTTGCGGCCCAAGGAGTCCAGGTTTGACTCGAATTATCTGATCCGATGACCTCATCTGGGATAAATACCTATTTTATTTTAGCTTTTCGGTTTGGTTCCCCGGTTCGCGTTTCGGTTCGACGTCGCCAGGAACCATGGATGCGTTTTGTTTTGAAGAATAATGGCAGCCTCAGGTACGCGAACTCAGGGGCGGTGGTGGTGGTGGTGGTGATAATTCCTGTCCTCAACATCGGCATCTGGGATATTGGGCATCTTTATCTGGACTGGCTGGATGAGGCTGCCGGCGTGAATCAAGCATAACTAACCCACGACTCACCAGCCGCAGGCTCAGCTTCATCTCAGCCTGTGAGGGGAGTGGTGTTATGATTCAGATGAAACGCTCTTGGCAGATGCTGGAAGGTACTTCATTTGGACAGTAGATCATTGCGAGAGATTCAATTGCCCTGCCTGTAGACAGTATACACACTCCTGTTCGTCCGTATGTCGCTGTCTTGTTGTTCGTTGATAGAGACCTTGTTCAGCGTCAAGAACATCCTCATCCGCCATGTCTAGATTCTCCATCTGCATTTTACATATCTTTCTCTCTTTTCTTTTTCCTTCTGTTCTCTGCGCTTCCCGTGACTGGCGCTGACACTAATCCGAACTTTTGAGTCCAAGCTGCCATCTCTCCCTTTTCTGCTCCACCTCTTTTTTCTCGCTCTTTCTCCTCCCCTTCAACTCCGTCCGCTCTTCTGTTTCCTCTCTTATCCTCTGCTCTCAATTCACCCTCATGCATTGGTTCTGATTGGGAGTCTCACCCCCCCGCACTCCAATAGCCCCAGCCAATCGTCCTCCTCTCGTCCCTTCCTTCGTACCCCAACGAAGCTTGGACCCCCTGATTCTTCTCACCGACGCCCAAGCGTCACTCCAATCCACACAACATGGCATCGACGGAAGAGCCCCTGATGCCGGCTACTGAGCCCTCCTTGCCGGAATCCTCAGTCGATGGGACTGTGGCTACCTCTGCTCCCACTGATGAACCTGAGCAGACTGCGGAAGAACCTGTTGATCAGACTCCCTCGAGCCCTGCACCCGCTAAGAAGACATCCACTACCGTGTCCCCCCGCCAGAAGCCTGGCACCTCTGCTGCTCCCAAACGCCCGGGAACCGCTACCGCTATCGCTACAAAACGTCCAGCTGGCTCTACATCAACAGTTGCGTCGAAGCTAGCCTCTACCACCGCCAGGGGAACTACTGGAAGCACCCTCAATCGACCCCCCACCCGACCCCCTGTGACGTCCACCATCACTCGCAAGCCAGCATCCACAACTACTGCATCTCATAGGCCTCGGGCATCTGTGGGCAGTTCCGCAGATGAAAGAGGCAAATCCATTGCCAGTTCGGGGGATGAGAACAAAAGACATGGCATATCTGCCACGGTGAAGAGAGCTTCCCTCACAAGCTCCACCTCTTCCAGAGCGCCCGCGAAGACTCCTTCGGATCGTAGGTCAACAATTACCCCGTCATCTACCGAAAAGAAACCTGCTTCAAGCCGCCCATCCACTGCCCAAAGCCCTGTAAAGCCACCCACCACTGCCACACGAGCTCCTGCGACGGCTACGTCCAGGTCAGCGGCAACGACCACCGTCCCGCGGACTTCAAAACCTTCTTCCGCGACGGCTACAAAAACCCCTGCCACCACAACGTCAGAGTCCAAGAGACGGATGAGCTCCTTGTCTACAACCAAGAAACCATCTATTGACAGTGGGAAACCCGCAGGGAAAAAACTCATTGCCAAATCTCCTGCATTGCAGGAAAGGATCAAGGAATATGAAGCTCTGCGTGAGCTGCTGCAGGCCGCAATTGCAGCGGAGGAAGCCGGCAATGACGAAAAACGCGATGAGATTCAGGTCGAGGTAGATGGTGATATCGCCCAGCTTAAGGGTAGCTTGGATACCGTCAAGGAAGGAGATGATACCAGCAGCGCCAGCAAGCTTGCTGATATCCAAGTCAGACTTGCAGAGAGCGAAGCGAAAGTTGCAGAACTACAAGCACAGCTAGTTGATGTTCAATTGCAATTATCTGAAGCCAGCAAGTCTACGGAAGGGGAGGCAGATAAAATCTCTGCTGCTACAGAACTAGTTCGTGCTGAGCACGAGGCTAAAGTGGCCAAGCTCACTGAAGTCCACGCAGAGGAGCTCAATGCCCTTCGAACGAAGCTAGACGAATTAGAGTCGCAGAGGTCAGAGACAGAATCTCGATTTACCCAGGAACTTGAGACTGCTAGACAGCTAGCTTCACAGGAAGGTGACTCGAAGACATCTGAATTGCTCGACCAACAAAAGCAGAGCCACACCGCCGCAGTAGCCGCTCTTGAAGCTGAACTTGCTGCACAACGGGATGTGACTGCAGAGCTTACTGCGCAAGTCGATATCTTGAAAGAGGAGCTTGCCACCCGTACTGCTAGCCTAGAAGAAGCTGCAAAGACTGCTTCTGAAAAAGAGAAGGAAGAGCTCGCGAACTTCCAGGCCCAGGTGCTCAGGAAGGAAACAGAATTAAATGGCCGCGACGCGGTGATCAAGAGCCTCAGGGACGAAATACAAGCTCTTCAGGACACTAGGGATCAGGAGTTGGCTGCTGCCAATGAAGCTGCTGCTGTCACTGCACAACTTCAGACTCAACTCGAATCTCTCCAGGTCAAACTAGCGCAGACGGAATCAGAAAATGCGCAGGATGCCACGGAGACTGTGAAAAAACTTGTTGAAAAGGAAGACGAGATTGCAAAGTTGGGCCAGACCATCGAGCAACTCCAGGATGAGATCCGGGAGGCGCAGCAGGCTAAATTTGAAGAGTCTCTCAAACAAGCAGATTTAACCACAGCGCACGAAAAAGCCATGGCTGCCCTTCAAGCAGAGCATGATTCTGTTGTGGCTAGCATGACAGCAGAACATTCGGAAGAGTTTTCTCAAGCGGAGGAAAAATCCAAGTCTGCCATCGACTCACTCCAACATGAGCTTAAGGCGATAACAGAGAAGCACGATGCTGCTCAGGCCGAAGTGGCTAGCTCAAAGGCCCAACTGGAGACTGCGACAAAAAGAGCTGATGAGGCCCATGCTATTGAACTGCAATCCCTACAAGAGAAGCTAGATGCAGCCGAAAAAGCCCTAGTGGACGCCAAACAGCATGCCGAAGCAGCCAGCGCTGCCGAGAGAGAATCCAATTCTGCCAGCCTCCAGGAACTTGAGGGTAAAGTACAGACCTTGGAGGAGGAACTCGCCAAGGGCAGCGCTCGTATCAAGTCCCTCCATGAAGATCTCGAAGCGGAAAGATCCCAGGTTGAGGGGTTGCGTAAGGGCCTTGAGGCTTTCGAAGTAACTACCAAGGACAAGGATGAATATTACGAGACTACAATCTCAAGGCTTGAGGTCGAGGTTAATGAGACTAACGATTCTCTTAAGGACAAGACGGAGCAACTAACTAGTCTCGAGGAAAAACATACGGCCGCGGTCGCAGAACTCACTGCCGCCCACAGCGCAGAGATCGAGGATCTGAAGGCCGAGCTGTCCGGATCGAATGTCTCAGCTCTCAAGAAACTCCAGGATAAATACGACGAAATCGTCGCGTCGAACAGCTCAACCGAAGCCGCGCATGCCACCCAGCTCGAATCCCTGAAAGCAGAGCATGCCGCTGCGCTGCAGGAACTCGAAGCCAAATTAACAAAGGAATTCGAAGACAGCAAGCTCAAGGTGCAAGCGGATGCGGAGGGATCGCATGCGGAGAAACTTGCCGAACTTGAAGCGGGCCAGACCAAGGCGATTGAGGAGTTGCTTGGTGCGCATGAGGAGAAGTTGGCGAGTTTGAGTAGTGAGCATGAAGCTGCCGTGAAGGAGAAGCTGGCTGCGGCTGAGGCGGCACATACTACCGTTGTTGCGGAGTTACAGGAGAAGTTGGAGGCGGCGAAGGAGGCTGCTATTTCTCATACGACAGAAATTGATGAGTTGAAAGCGCAGATTTCTAAGTTGGGTGAGGAGCATACTGCTGAACTTTCAAAGGCTCAGAAGGAAAAAGAAGAGTTGGAGGAATCACTTCAGAATTCCATCTCCAGCTTAAATAAAGAACTCGAGGCAGTTAAGCAAGAATCCTCATCTCTAAAAGAGGAATTCGAGAGCCAGAAGCAGGTGCATACCCAGGCACTGACTGATCTTGAGGCACTGAAAGCCACCGCCAGCGCTTCAGACGAGAAACAGAACACCGTGGAAGCCAAGTTCGCAGCCTTAGAGGAAGACATGAATGCTCTGAGTGAGAAAAATATCATACTTGTCCAACAACTACACGACGCTGAAGCAACCATTTCCAAAAATAATCGACGTATCCGAGAATTGGAGTTCGAGCTCGCGGATTCAAAGATCAAGAAGCCCGAATCTCCAAACCTTTCCAACGGCTCGAACTTGAAGACCTCCAGCGGACTGGACGACAGCAAATGGGCAGTTAAAGAAGAGGACACCACCACGGCGGACAACGAGCAGACGGATACTGCGAAGGTACTGCCAGAAGACGCTGGTCCTACCACTACTGAAGGTGAGGACCTTGGTTCTTCTATTGAGGGAACGGTGGGCGTGCCCCGTTTCATTTCTCTTTGTTCGCTTTTGTCGAGCTTTTTGTTTTTGGATTTTCGACTTCTGCGTGGGCTTATCGTCGTATCTTGGCGTCCTGTTGTTGGGTATTTTTGTTCCGCTTTCTTATTGTTTTTTGTTTAATATTGCGAGCTTGAGTTGTACTTGCAGGTGGTCTTTTAATTATTGGAAACCTTTGCTCATTGATATGCTAACATCCTTTTTCTTTTCTAGATGGCCAGCATTCGGGAACAGCTTCGCCAGCTTGAGGACGTAAATGAGGGCATGTTCGACGAGAACGCTAGGTATGAGACATTATTTCAACTATTTATGAATACTTTCCTTGAGCTCTCTGGCATACCTCAGACCATCATCATGTATCGGGTTTCTTTTCCATTTTTTCGCCCCAGCATTCTTTTACTCTCCTCTCCAGCATCTAATCCGCAGTATAAAAAACACGGTAGAATTGTGGACATGCTCTCCAAAGTTGGCCAGAATCCCACACCACCAACACCAGGCACACCAAACCCATCGAGCAACGACAACAGCAAGCCCAAACCCGTAACCGACGTGCCCAGCGAAGTCGTTGAAGCCGCCTCATAAGCACACGCATTGAACCCAAGAAAAAGGACAATAAAAAGAAACATGTTCCTTCCAAAACTTTATGCGTTTGCCCTTTCGGTTGGGGGTTTCAAACGCTCCGCGCTCGCGCGTGATATGATATCCTTTTTTTCATCTTTCACCTTTTCGTTCCCTCCGCCTCGCCTCGTCTCCCAAAGAGACTGGCTGTTTGCCAGATCAGGCCGGCGGGTAATGCAACGCCAAGGCTTGCATTCCTTAATGATTATGTTTAAAAACCGTGTTATGCGTGTAACGGATGACGGGTGTGAATTGGGTCGTTTTTCCTTGCCCTATTCGATTTGCTTAGGGGAAGGTGTCCTTTTTGAGAGCGAA